AAACACCTAGCCGTGTACAGGAAAAGAAATAGGAGGTTTCATTTACTTAAACAGAAAGTCCCTCATAAAAGTTTTCATACTTAAAGTGGGTGTCAGCTGTAGCGGTTTTTATATTTCAGGTTATTTGTCTCAGTGACAAAATTTCAAACATCTCATAAAATTCTTATGGTATGGGTCAGCTCCATAAAGGATTCTTCAGTTTTCCCAATAAATGACGAATTTATAACATAAAAAAAAACATTCATGCACGGTGAGATTAGGCAAGTTAAAAGTCATTCATGATCACTACAAATTATCATCAGGCCCCCAAAGAGCTTAAGTGCACACCACGATATACATCTCATGTACTCTATTCAAAGATTAACATCTGTTGTTGTATACCCTGGGCATTGAGACTGACAATGTACAGTTATTTTTTAATGTGCTGTACTTTTTGCCAGTCCAGAATATATTTGTTCCTTTTTTTACAGTTTATTTTTTTCTCCCATAAAGTACGTGGAAAAAGTTAAAAGTCCCGCTCTCAGCTTCAGATGCTGCTGTTTTTGGCTGAGTAACATTTATCATCAATCCAACTTTACTTTCTCAACAAGTTACTGTTTTTATTTTATGCCTGTATTTGAGGGCATACGCTTGTTATGCTTGAAAAATAAATAAATAATAAAACGCTCCATCAAAGTTAGCCTTTGCTGTTTGCCTCACTTCTATGTATAGATCACAGGCGGCTTTTGAGACTGTTTGTAGCCTACATCTGAGCAGTGCAGGTACACAGCGGGGGGCAGGGACTCATGTCTGTGCATCTCTACAGAGGTCTGTTTGTGAATAAAAATGCGTTGTTTACTTCTGTACCACTCGCACCCAAGAGTAAACTCTGAATGAAAAAGTTGAATTTTATTGTTTATGAGTTTAAAATGTAGGTTTCCTTGAGAGCTGTGAAAAGTTAGCCCAGCACAATAGCAGAGAGCATTCTTGCAGCCGCTGTGGCAGTCACATGAGCAAAGGCCTGTTTTCCTCCCAATGTGTCTGTCAGGAGCAGAGATTATCACTGTTATCCCAGTATGTGCCATTGAGCTCTGTAGACGTGGAGTAAAAAAAGAACCCTGCCTTATCGACAGCTTTATCTACTTCAAGAACGTACCCCCAGGTGACTTAAAAGAGAGAAGAGACTTCAAACGCTGGAGGAGTCAGCCCGGAGTGGCGAACACTGAGCTGACCAGTCAGATGCCAGTCTCCTTGAATCTTTCTCCAGCACCTCTACTATCTGCACTCCTCTGACTTTTGATGTTTAGACTACAAGGGGGGAAAATGGTGAGTTAAACTGCTGTTGGTCACATTCTCAGAAACAGTTCTTGAAAACAAAACCTAGATGCTTATTTTCCATGAAGGTTGTTTTCGAAGATTTGGTATTGTGGCATTTTAACATGCAACCAATGTAGCTACAAATAAATGTAAAAGCTCTGTAAAACTAAAATTCATTAATTGAATCTCCTTGACTACTTCTATACTGCAGTGTTGGGTAAAACATACTGTAGCCTATGACCTAAAGCTGACAAGCTTAAGTACAGAGTTTCCACCCAGGAGGCGAGAGCTAGTCAGCCTTTTGAGCTTAACTTTATCACCAATGCTCGCTCATATATGTAAAGGGAGTATAAAGTGCTATGCAGAAGTTAAGCCCTGATTTGTTTATTGTTGCAGTTGCCATGTAAGGTATTGTAATAAAAATATGTAATGCACTTCAACCATTAACTAGTGTTATCAAAAAAGTAAGGGAAACAGATAAATTGCTCCTATCTATATGGAGAGATTATTCAAAAATTGGTACTGTTGTGTTTTTCACACTTTCCAGGTGTTGAGAAAAGCTTATCTAAAGCTGCCGTTATCCCCGTTATCCCGTTCAGAAACAAAGCCCAAAGCCATAAAAACATTGTTTGGCTTAAGCCATGGCAGAGCAATTCCATCACGTTGACTGTGTGGTGTCTTCGTGACCTGTAAGTCTTTTTCTCTAAATGTAAGAACATATGGTGAGAGATCTGGAAAGTGATGGCTGTTTTTTGTTTATCCGTGTAGCTAAGGTAATGCTGTCATGCAAATGACCAAGCAGCAACCTTTGATGTTGAGAAATAAATCCAATGAAGAAGTGCAAAAAGCTGTAGTCCCTCCAATTTGAGTCGAACTGTGAAAGCGAAGGAAACCTTTCGCAGTCCACATTAAAAAGTCCATTTACAGCTGAAATGTTTTCCGCTGTTTCTCTATTTTTAAATATATTGTAGCGGTAAAATTTACTTGTTTAACTTACCATTTTTTATTAAATCATTGTAAACAGTTATGCAAATTAAGGTGTGGTTAGTTTCATCGATGAGTAGACACTGTGTAACTGTAAGCTGAAGACGAGCCTCCACTTCCTCTCTATTTCTAAATAGGCCAAAGGTTAGTTGCAGTTATGGCTGTGAGATAGATTAATTAAATCAATTAGCAGCACCTAAGGTTCTGTACAAATTACAGGACTGAAAATTGAAATAATTTTTTATCCCGTCGTTTGCACTCAACTCAACTTTATTGTAAAGCACTTTAAAACAACCACAGCTGAACAAAGTGCTGTGCATAAATAACAAAACAACGCAGCCATAAAAACAATCAAAAAACAATTAAAACAATGGATAAAATAAAAGCAGATATTAAAAAATAAAATATAGTTCTCCTATCCCTTCTCATTTGTTCACTTCCTGCCGTGACAAACAAGACAATAACAACATGGCTACTAGCATGAGTAAAGAGTTTATCCTCCCCAAAAAGGCTTAGCTCATCAGTGGTTTGGATCTGCTTTGGTTTTTATGATCACAACATATGACAGTGTTATCTTAAGGAGAAAAAGAAAAATTGATTAAAAACAATCCGAGGTTTTCTTTTTAGCCCATATCACCCAGCCCTAGTTGGAGTTAACAATACTACGTGACCGCCATGTTTTGGCCTCCTCTGTGTCCTTTTTTGTAAATTCTGTTGCGATGACCGTCAGGCAAAATTTACAACAGTAAGTGGTCCAGTCAGTTTCAAGTAGATGTTATTTCAAAAAAACAAATTTAATGATGTAAATACTTTTCCTTCTGGACATGCAATTAAGCAATATGGCTAATCAAAACCATAAAGCTGGTTAACTGCATGTATGGACATCAGAATTTCAGTGATCGTCTATTAAAAATTGTCGTTAGTTTCTGTCCATACTGTAGATCTTTAATTTTCTAATGGTAAAATTTATATCAAAGCCCATTTTTTTGGTTATTCTTTTGCAGAATTACAAATAGCTGAATTCACTTTGCCCAAAACATGACAGAAGTATCCCTCGCTGGTGATTGTAAACAAGAGTGCAAGGTGAAGGTGAATAATAAATGAATGGGGGATCATACTCTGAATGAGCAAGAGAAAGGGAAAATAGCATGAGCACAAAGCAATAATAGATGTTTCACAAACCTCTTTAGACTCCTAACTTAAATTGGATTTTAACTCCACAGAGTGCAGGTTGTAGATGTTTATTTTCATTCAATCGTCAAGCGCCACTGATGACAACTTAACAGCTCTGCCTCAGAATGCAAATCATGTTGGCTTTCTCATTTAGCTGCCAGGTGAGGTTCTCAATGTGTCGTTCAAGCGAGTCTTGCTTTCACTACAGAGCCTAAAATATGTATAATTGAAAAGTGAAATGGTTCCATTGTCAGACTCTGTTGTTAAATCTCAGCTTCAATGCCCGTCACCATGACAAGCTACCAAATACCTATTTTTAACACCTACTTTTTAATACCTTCTATTCTTCTCTCTTTAGAGAAAAGTAGATGTGCCTTTTAAAGTTTTCCAGACTGAAAAAGAAAACTGTCTGCTATCATTAACCATGAATGGTTATTTTACTTACCATCTTTGAGGGCTCAGACAACACTTTAATAAGCAAATTTATCATACATGACACAATTACACAACCGACTGTAGTATAATCTTAGCATTTGGCAACAGAATCCCATTACAAGTAAGAGAAATGAAGAAAAAAAACGCCCCAGGAGTAGAGCTTGGACAAGGTTCTTTCTGAGATTGTCTTTCTGTACAAAAAGAAAACATAAAATAAGATCTTATTTCCTGGGATTTTTCCCAGTGCTACAGAAATTCTGACCGCTGATATGTACCCTGCCTGGAGCCACAGCTATAAATGGCTCCCCTGATGGCAGTTCTGTGCATTATAATCCCATTTACTGTCATGTAAATCTTGCCCTACAAGAGGAGACACAGAACGCCAGCATAGAGTGATGAGGACGAGGTGTAATCTTTTCCGAAAGAGAGAGGAGTATGGTATTGTAAGTTTGACAGCTCTGAGTGTTCTCATAGCATATATATATGTGACTTAATAAAGAGGTAAAACCTGCTCATGGAATTGCTGTTGAAGATGTTTTGTTGCTGGAAATTTTCCAGAAGTCGGCCATGGAAAGTATATTTGACGAGAATATACATTTAGAGGAAGAAAAATGTACCAACATGGAGCGATTGTGCTCATGCATTAATATGCTCAAGGGTATTTCTGTATGTGTTGGTGTTAGCTGCCATTTTGGATCACATTGCATCGTCTTTAAATAAAAGCAAAGAGAGAAAGATAGCCAGGAGCACTTATGTAAATGTGTGCATTTATGCAACAGCCTTTAGCCTCTTCAGTGGAAGTGCTTGAAATTTCCAGTATAGGCTGTATGTGATTTGGACGAGAGTTGAACAGTGTGAACATATGTATCTGTCTGTGCTTTAGGTGAGAGGAGAAAACATGCGGCAGAAAGTGATGCTGTGAATTGTTCATGTTACCCTAAAAGAGCTGCTCTGAGCACGCTGTGTTACACAGCAATATTGTTCTCTCAGAATGACTAATATGTTTTTTTTTTTCACAGGATGGAGTGTTCACCCCAAACAGCAGATCAACATCTATAATAACTAAAAGCACACTCATCAACAAACTACATGTGCAACGAGCCAGAGGCAGTGACATATCCCCTCCCATCATGGACCACGCAAGATTACTGCAAGGTGAAACAAATTTACACATATGCCTGCTTCTAGCCATAAATCAGAATCTAGCTCCAAACCAGTGGAACAGGATTATACAGAGAAACATGTTTATGTCGCAACATATCATACAAAAAAAACCTTGCAGGTCGGTTTTGGCAGGGATGAAAAACAGCTGATGGATCAATTACCGTTCACTAAACACTGCGAGCAAATGATCCGCCGTGCACAAGAGGATAGTTCACCACTGCAGGCTGGTTTGTATGAATGTTCATTTCCAGGATGCCCTCAAAATTAAAGTATAGAGCAGAAAGTGATCATGGTTCCTCTGCTTGTGTAAACTGATCTGACTGAGTGAAGAATAACTGAAGTGAAGGAGGCAGTGTAACAGATATTATGGAGGGTTCAAGCGAAAAGTGAGGTAATATTCCCCCAGTGTCACTTGTATGAGTTTGAGCACCGGATAAGGTGAGCAGACTAAAAACAAAGCAAAAATAAATCAGTCTTTGTTGGAAAAAAAAGGGTTATATTTTAGTTTTTAAAATCAACTTTCAGAGATTTCTCTGCAGCCATTCTGATTTAGCTGAGGGGTCTCAGATTAATTGTAAATAGTATGTGATACAACTACAGTCTGACATAATGCGGTGAAATGACCCCCCAAAGATTTATTTTTGCTTCCATAAAATTTGCAAAATAATTATATCATGTTCCCACTTTTCCACTTAAAGGTGGGGTAGGCGGGATCTGAGGAAGTGCCAGTTTTTGGGGGAAATCTTGAATGTAAACGCTACCCCTTCCAACCAGTTTTCCCCTCAGCTCCTCTTCTCCCCTCAGTCTCTGCTCCAGCAAGCCCCGCCCACCAACAGACGCTCCTGCTCGCTCGTATCGTTTCAATTAAATTCAGATAAAATGCAGAGAAATACATCAGATAATTACAAATGGGGCCAAGTCAACTCAAAAGTAAAAAGCATTGGTGCTACTGAAGATGCCCACAGACTACAAGCAAAAAAAATGTTTGCAGGACTTCTACAACTAGGATAAAGTGACATACTCAGGACCAGAGGTAAACAGTTTAGCGGCACTACAACACGCAGCAGGTCCCATTTTAAATTGGTTTACCTGTCCAGCAGACATGTTACAGGGTCCATAAGATCCCAAAGTGTCCCCCTCGTTTGTGCTAATGTTGGGTTCTTAACTCTTTTCCGGTCTACCTCCGTTTTAAACGCCCGTTATTCCGCCCAAGTCTCTGGTATTTACTTCGTTTTATTGCTTGTGTTTTTACGTACTTTCTGGTTGGTTTCTACTGTCCGATGTAGCCCACTAACTTTGTTTGGACTCATGCGCGTTATTGGAGGACGTGGAGCATGCCTCACAACATGAGGGAGCAGCGTCTGCCTCACAACCAATCAGGTTGGGGGAGGTGGAGAATGGCTTTGTTTACAGTCAGAAAGAGCAGGCAACTCAAAAATTTTAAATGTTGACTACAAAGACAACAAAACACAGCGATATCATTATATTACCAAACATCATCAATAACTAATAGCTACTGACTGATATTTAAAGCTTTTTTTGTAAATACGCCACAAAAAAATATGCTTCTTTAACGGCATTGTGCCTATCCCACTTTTAAGTAAAAATGACTGTTCAGTTTGGTCTGTTTGTTGGAAACAGCTTCTTAATTGCTGACGGAGGTTAGATCAATAATTTCAGATGCTAGGTAAATTTCAAAGTGAGGTTAGCAGTCCCTAGCAACGTCATGTCAATCAGTGGCTCATGTGTGGCTTTGTTGCTCTGTTTCTTCATTATTCCATGTGTGTCATGCCTCCGGGAGGAACATCAATGTCTGTGTCCCCACAGAGAGAGTGAGCTCAGTCATTTAATCATCATGTGGCCTTGTCTAATTGTGTCTCACAGCATCTTTCTTACCATTCATCACCCATAGATAAAAGAGAGAAGAAAGTACAGTTGGCTCTGCATTACATCTGTGTGAAAGATTCAACATTCAAGGTAGGAGAGCAGTGAGCAAGAACAAAAGACACCGGAAAAGGCTGAGGTATGGAGAAAATATAAAGGACACGGAGAGGGGGAGGGACACACACACACACACACACACACGTATTTATAAGAGCAGATAAAAAAAAAAAAACAGGGTGTTGTAGCAAAGATGCTAAAGCAGTCACACATGTGAGGGTCAGCGTATTCACACTCCAGATTTAATGAGAGACAGATGCGTGTGGCTCTACTGTAGACTGCGCCTCCAGTGTGATCACAGACTGTCGCTCGGATATCACACAGAAAAAAGAGACAGCGGAGAGAGAAAAAAGGAGCAGACACATGGAGTTATGTTTCCTTTTTGTGCTTTGAGAGCTTGTGGGCAGACCTACACTGGTAGAAGTCCCCTCCCCAACTCCCCCAACCCTCTTCATTTCCCTCTTTGTTTGAACTCCTCATTTCTCAAATTTCTTTTTCTTCTGTGATTAGCAGTGTCCTGTCAACACCTGCCATATTTCTCTGACAAGGTGTCATTAAGTGCAGGGAGAAATTTGTTTTAAATTGAGCACTGAGAGCTCTTTGAGAGTGTTTGTGCAGCACTGTCAGGCTTTTTTAATTAAGGTGGCTTAGCAAACATGTTTTCCTGCAGAGTAAAAACAATGCAGGTCCTTTCAGAGTGTCTCACTGTGAACTGTTGATAATGGCCTCACTGTATTGCCAGCCATTCACATAGGACAGCTTCAGCATAAATGGTATACATCAAAGACAGGCATTGCGGTCTTTATTCCTGAAAACTTGGTGCTGTGTACTTCACCTTTGAGTTTGTGTGCAATTTGAGGCATCTGTTTTTCTTGTTCAGAATGAATCTCAAATCTGTGAAGGTTGGCAAAGAGTCATTAAAGATTAAATTAACTTTTTCATAAATGCTTAATTAAATGTAACTCCTGACTTTGAACACTCCACTCTGACAAACAAACACTTTAAAACAGTTATACTTAAACCTCCAGTGGGAGTGCGTAACACAAAAATAGATGATACACATATTAAAAAGTCTCTATTACAGTTTTTCATTAGCATGCAGGGCACTTGGCAAGCTTTCATGAATTCTTCATTCACTCGGAGATGTAATGAAGTCTTTTCTTGTAATTTGCCCCATCAATAATTAGCAGACCTCACTGAATGGTCTCGGGAAATGGCCGCTGTGAGAAATCCTATACTATTAATATTACATTGAACTCTTTCTGGCTTATTAGCAGGGCTAGGTCCTTAATGAGCCAATAGCCCTCAGTATTGTCAATATTTTATCTTTATGTACCTCTGTTGATTGAGATTTGGACATCAAGCATTAAGGTTAGTGACCCCGAACATGAGGGTCAAAGAGGTGATGGTGGGGATGTTTTGATTTTAAACTGGAGAATAACTAAGTTGAAGAAGTCAATGTTTTAAAGATGATCTGGACAGAAGTTTGATTCCAGGTGACTCTAACGGTGCACACGTTTTCAAACTTTTATGACACTTTCCCTCTAGCGTGCCGTCCATCTTTCTCAGACTCCAGTTGTTTAAAATGTCGCATCTGTATCAGTTTCAATCTGGTATTGAAATCTTATTTGGTTGATTGCTATCTAGTATTAGCTAATCCGTCTTACTTGTTTCTTTGTTTTCCAAAATAAATCTGAGTTAAATGAGTTTGACACAGGCTTTGAAGATGACCAAACTGGATTACCGGCTTACAGCTGTTTTAACTTTTTTGTATTCTTTTGGAAAGCATGATGTTTGGAATCAAATATTTGAGTTTCATCTTTTCTTCTTTTTTTTTTTCCTGGACAAAAAAAACAAACAAGGATTTTGACATAAAGGGGGACTAACTTTAGTTCAGAATCCAACTTTTGGAGACGTAAAAAAAGATAAAGTAAAAAAACATATTATCTTTCCTTGCACCTCTGAAACTAATGTAACAAACAGAACATGACTAAGCTGAGTGAATGTGCAGAAACTAATCTGATCTGACCTCACACTTTTTCTTCTTCTATTTAGTACAGCAACAAACAATGAAGAGGCACGGTGACAGGTTACTGCTATGGCTGTGCACTACAGTGTCAAGCTGGTCAGGTTTTTGACGACTGGGCCGGCAGGTGCTCTCCTGTGATTTGCCTCGTCCTCCAGCAGCATGCCAATCAGGCTCCACCAACCAGCAGCGCAGGTGACACAAATCACAGCCTAAATGAATACTCACTGAGCCACACACACACACACACACACACACACACACACACACACACACACACACACACACACACACACACACAGCAGTGTCAATAAACCACACATGAGAGAGGGTGTGGCAGCTGTCATAACACACTGGACCCTATGTCTTTAGGGCAGCTTTGCAGCGGGAGGACCTCTTGATAATGTTAAACAACTCTGGTGTTAGTCAAAAGAGTCTTGAACCACTTGCAACCTCTGCTCTTGAGGAATGAAGCCAATGCTCAGTTTCCTGAGTGCGTGCTCAAGGCTGCCTGTAAAGGCTCCTGAAACCACATACACACCCATTCAAAAAAGGCCGTCTTCACAAGAACAAAACAAACACGTTACATAGTAGTGTGGTAGGTAGGGTTGCAAAATTACAGGAATTTTCAAAATTGAAAACTTTCCATGGGAAGTAACAGGAACATATGGAAATTAACAGGAATAAATCAGAAATGTACAAAATTGAAGGTTGGCCCTCAACAGGGAACTTAAATACAGCTGGGGAAAAAATATTGTCGCATAATCTTGGCCAAAGCAACCAGATTTAATGCAAGTACACTCCTCAATCACATGCACAGAGCACACTGTGTACTGCAGGGCTATTGAGGCCACACCCCCTACATGCACTGTGCATTCCTCCATCACATGCACAGTTGATTTCTTGAACCCTGGAGACCACACTTTTGAGCCCAGAGCACAAGACATTTGAGCCCACAGACTATATAAAGTCAAGTAAGTTTTGATGATATTACAGGGTAAATATATTTGATCTATAATAGGAATAATATTTAACTTGCAAACAAATTTAATAAAAATAGGTGCTAAATGTAAGCTATTTTTCATTTCATTGACTATTTAAGGGGTTAGCTTATTATAGTGGTGGTAGCTACCTCAAATGTGATGCTGTTTTATCTGACTCCTGCAAGACTGCTTTATAAATCAATTGTCAAATATTTTGAGGACCAATCCAGTAGTTTAGCCAGCTATATTTCTGTTCATGCCATTGCATTAGTGTTTTTACAAGCTTTTTTGTTGTTTTATTCTACAGAAAAATGCCACATTCACCATCTGATGTGTGGAAGTATTTCACTCAAGCAAATGTTGGAGGAAAAATATTTACATTTATGTTTGGATATGATACAGTTTGGTTAAATTACCCCCAATTTTCAGTTAATTCCCATAAATTCCCAATAATTCCCATAACTCCCATGGAAAGTTTCGAATGTGGAATATTTCCAAAATTCCCAGGCTTAACTTCCCATGGAAAGTTTCTGGAAATTTATCGGATTTATCCGCCCCTTTGTAACCCTGATGGTAGGAAATTGAGATTTTAAATGTTAATCAGATTACACTGCAACAACAGAACATAGGCATGGCTTTTCATCTATTTAGGTATTTTAACTAAGTTCAGTTTCAGGTACATGCAGCTTTGTTTCACCTCCACTTCTCTTTGAATCTGCTCACTATTTGCATGAGCGCCTGTTTTTTTGTTTGTTTGTTTTGTGTTTTTGTCTTTCATTTCTGCAGCACTCTAATCAAAACTCTCCCCTTAATTGCTGAAGGAGCGATTAGGTACTGGCAGCACAGTCAGGTGCATACTGTACTCTGTACTGTGCTCTTTAATGGCGCCACATGTTTATTAGCCTGAGTCCACCTACACACAGTCCTAATGGGCTGCACATAGGCCAGAACATGAATATGCATTCTCACATTGGTCAATAATTTCTAAAACTGGAGCACAGAATGAAAAGGAACAACAAATAGTGTCTCTCTGTAATTGGCTGTCAGCAAAGGTAATATGCAAATTTGGAGCCTTTCTTCCCCTGGTATTGTGTGAATAGAGAGCTGCTTTTTGATATGTGTGAATAGGCCTTGATCAGATGCAGTCACTTAGATAAGACTGCCATACTAACAAACCTGCGTCAGAGCTTATGTGTTTTTTTTTTTTTTTTTCGTTTTTGGTCTCTGAAACTCCGGCTTTGTTTCTCACTTACCTGTGTTCTTCATCAAGTCTCTCTCTTAAGTTTGAAGTCTTTTAAATTTACAGCAACTGCATGACAAGAAGGACATTCACAGAGAGCAGATTGAAACATGGTGGTGGTATCACAAATAATTAAGGTTTTGGGTGACACAAAAAGCAGCCAGGACTTTGAATAACAGTGACCATTAACCATAAATCAAACACACCCAGAAAGAAGCTGTTTTTTTCATCATAAGTCGACACTCTGTCAGCATACAATGATGGAAAACAATAAAGATGTTATCCTCTACACCGTAGCCTGACAGCTATTGAGCTGTCATTATACCATCGTGAAGTCATTTCCATGCCTAACTTGAAAGCATATTATTATGATTAAAAACAACAGTGAAGTGTCAATCAATGCCATGCCATTATTGCCTCCTATTTTGTCTCTTGAGATACCCACTCGCTCTGGTTTCATTTTTCGGTCCATTTTCTATTATGATCCTATTATGATCACAGTGGGGGGCACATTATAGCATACAATCCTGAAAACCCTCGGCAAAGTGTTTTCTTAACCCTTTGATGCGCAACATGGGTCAAAAAAGACCCGGCTGAGTTTAAATTTTATATATCTTTTCAAAAAATTAATTCCATCAGTCGGTACTCAAGGAATTCCTCAATTAACTTGTTTTTGACGACCCTACATCCTTATGTTAATTTTTCTTTTTTTACTTTTAGAATAAAAACCGTTTTTGTATTACTACCCCTCTAATGCACAACATGGGTCTAAAATGACCCGTATCCATTTTCAATGTTATTTCATGTTTGGCTGAGTGTTTCTATGGTATATCTTTGAAATAAATTAATTTTATCATTTACTATTCCAAGTATGCAGTACAGGTCCTTTTTTTAGTTGAGCACAAATAATCATTTTTATTTTTATTTTCTTACGTTATGAGGAAGCACAGATTTTGTATTTCTACATCAAGTTTATATACATGGGTCAGAAACGACCCACATACGGTGACTGTAGCATTTAGCATGAAAAGACCGTCTAATACATGTAAGTATGGTTTTTCAATTGTTCTGACATTATCTTAGAAATTATTGGATGACAATTGTGAAATATAATTGTACATAGATTTGATTTGATTAGGTTCAGGTTATCTTGAGAGTGAGGACATTACATGTTGGAAAGTTACACAGTTACAGGTAAAACAGCTAGGGTTATTTCAGCTAGCTATAATCAGACGCATGTGTATGTGACAAAATGACAAATAAACATGTTGCTGATACAAAATACAAAAGTGTTTGGCCCATAGACTAGAATGGACAGCGTCTGCCTCCTTGCTGGGTGAAGCCGAGAACAGCACCCCCTGTTTACAGGCTGCAGTATAGGTCATAAATCCCGCCTCCGCCAGCAAACCTTATGGAGCTGTGGACAAACTTTAGAAATTTATTACACAGAACAAAGATTTTTCTCCCCCCTGCTTGTGATGTTGACATGTAGTTATTGTAAGACTGGTTTGTGCTCAAGTCCTCTTTTTTCTGTACAGCTCTGTTTTTAAAAGTTATTAGGGGGTTCATGTTTTCTATGATTGACACCTGATACAGCCTATGGGCGTTCAGGGATTGCGTAGCTTTCCCGGGGGATACGCTGTTTGAGCCGAGTGTCATCACAGCGACTCTCTTCAACCGTGCGGCCAAATACGCGCATTGCTACTGCGCAGCGCTGGTTTCAGGAAATGAAGAAAACCCTGGAAATATTGAGAGCTATTTGGCTTCAAATCTGTATACAGGCAGTAGGCGGAACAAAGTTGTCCATAGTATATACAGTCTATGGATACAGCCTATGGGCATTCAGGGATTGAGTAGCTCTCCTGGGGTGATACGCTGTTTGAGCCGAGCGTCATCACAGCGACTCTCAGCGACTGCGCGGCCGAATGCACGCATCGCAACTGCGCAGCTCTGGTTTCAGAAATGTATAAAAGTCCCGGAATTACCAAGAGCTTTTTGGCTCCAAATCTGTATACAGGCGGTAGGCGGAACCAAGTTGTCCATAGTATATACAGTCTATGGTTTGGCCCCACTCACTGCTAATTTCATTACTTGAAACAAATTATTATTATAGTGTTAGGTAATTCAATATTAAATCACACTTGGATGAATGGGTCGTTTTTGACCCATGTGTGTTAACTTGATGTAATAATATAGAAACTATATTATTTCATAAAGTATGAAAAGAAAAATAGAAATAATGATCAGTGGTGATCAAAAACAAGATATTTAAAGAATACTTGGAATATTCAATCAGAAAATAAACTTATTTCAAAAGATAGAACAAAGAAAAACTCAGCCAGCATGAAATACCATTGGAAATGAATGCGGGTCTTTTTAGACCCATGTTGCGCATTAGAGGGGGTGTGGATATGTTGCGCATCAAAGGGTTAAACTTGTGCTGCTGTAATTCCCAGAGACCAGATAATACAGAGGCATGAAAATGGTGAGAGAAAACTTCAAAATAAATAAATAAATAAATAAATAAATTTCCACTTATAGTGACATACCATATCTGGATTTAATTATAGATCACAGTATTTTGCTGCAATTATATTGTAACATTAACTTTCACATCTAGAAATTACAGTGAACAGTCATCAATGAAACAACTCCATAAAAATGTGGTTTACACAGCTTAATTTTCTTTGTTCCATTGCCTACTTATATCTATATCTACTTATATCTAATTTGTTGAGTCAAATACCTTTCTGTCAAAACCTTGTCTTGACCAATCTCACTTGATGGAGCAGCCTATACTTACTCCAGAGTATTAAACAGCTTGACTGGTGGCTTAACAAACCAACATATGAAGCTGTTGGTACTCTAGTGCCATTCGTGAACCCTGCACTGTAATCTATTTGAAGTGCTGTGTTACACAGATGTCATACTGTAAACCTGTGAAGTCTGTTTGATCCAAACATGTTAAATAAACAATAAGATTCCCCAACCAATGACTTATTACCAGAACTACATAAGAATAACATCACTTTACACCACAGTATTATGTGTTTGTATAATTTTAACTTTTCAGGGTATTTCTTAAGTGTCAGTTTTTTTAGGTTCATATTGTATTGAATATTAAGACATACGATTTTCTGTCACTGGCAACAATGAAATTTTTTAAAATCTGATTCTGAATCCAAGCAAGACTGTACTCAGGAGACTGGAGTTTGATTCTTTTGTTCAATATGAACTTCCTTCCGCTCACATAACATACTTCAGTTACATTTCATACATGCATTATTCATGCCATGTAAGCTGCTTTTATACTCATCATGCATTAGTTATGTAGTTTGCATGCATTCATTAGCATTTATCTAAACCAGAATTATGGTCCCAACCTAATCCTGTAGTATTTTATGACCAATTTTAACTGTGTGTTTTATGTTTAAGACTCATAAAATATGAGTAGAAAGTCAAAAATTAGTTAGTATAAGAAAAGATGTTATTTTAGGCTGGGATTAGTCTGTTTTAAAGGGGGAGATCAGTAGAACAGCTAGCTGCCAGAGCTATCATAAGGAAAGTGAAGAATCTTGAGAATTAAAATTTTGTTTAGGTTTCATATAAAACTGAATTCTTGATCTTTTAGCATAGGAACTCCACACTGTTGCAAGTATCAGGATTCTGAATAAGTTGTGCAAGAAACTGAGTCTATTATGAAGAATGACAGACTAATGGGAAGCCTGTGCACACTCCTGCAACCACTGAGCAGAACTTCACAGGATGACCCATATTCCTCATTATGGTGCAGGCAGCTGGCTGCTCCTCTGATATTATTCTATGTGTTATTTCATATGTTAATTGAACATAGGCCATTAATATAATGTCTCCAAACCTCATTACTGCTAGCAGACTAACTTTACACAAAGAAACTGAAGTCTGGTGACAATATCCAGGAGCCTCCAAGTGGATATTTGTCAGAGTCTGGAAATGTTGCAGCTTATAAAGACCACCTGATCAGGAGCATACTGATTTTAAGAATAATGTATATGAGAAGTTAATGCATTGCAAGTATTTAACCTCCAAATCTCTCTCTTTTCGATAGCTATGTAGCCTCAGTCCTCGATCATCACTTTAAAAGTTTAACTAGATGTTGAATTTTAGTATTGGTTATTTGACTGAAGAGTATTACATGTCATCACCCTATTAAAATAATGGCCTAAGTAATTTTTTGATGAAAATGAGTTTTTGGCCTGAATCATCTCTTGATAATGCTGACCACCTCTGGTAACATCGCCTAAATCCTTAGTTGAAAGGATCATGGCATGATCCTTAGGTCAAAACTCATTTTCGTCAAAAAATTACTTAAACCATTAATTTAATAGGGTGAAGATATGCCAAACTGACAGCAGAGAGTCGCCTTGTCCTTCATATTTTGAAGCTTAGACCTACTGACCAAACTGCCTTAATAGGTAAATTGGGAGTGAGAATGCAGCTGATAAACTGAGGCTTAACTCTGGCAACATAATCCCACAATTCCACGTCTATTAACACATTTTTACTCCCTTCTTGAATTGCTAAATTGTATTTAATGCACTAAAATACATCATCTACTATGCAGTACACTGGAGAGAAGAGTATGAACAAGATAAACAGTTCTCTGATGAAATATGACCAAAACTGTGAAAATAGATTTGAACAATCTTCTTCTGACTTCAGGACCTTGATGGTAATAAAAGGAGATTGATTAAGAAAATGTGTTTTCAGGGCTTTCGAGAAGTAGTTAGTCTAAAACAAAAAAAGCAATCAAAAGATGCTTAAGCAGTGATTTTAAAGGTGCATCTATAATTCTGACACTAATAATCCTTTTCCAATCACTCTCATGCAGACACACAGTGTTCTCTGAAACATTGCTGACTACACAGGCTTTGCTGTGTGACAGCATAGACCTTGACTGGAGATCCAGGGCGCTTTGAGCTGCCTAGAATGAATTCCTTATCTGCATAATCGTGGCTCTGCATTTCTCCTGCTTTTTTACATAAAAGTATGCGAGTGAGCTAATCAGACTTCCTTGGGTCAAAGTTCACTGTGCCGTAGGAGAGAAGGATCCTCCCGGGAAGGGCATGTCCAGATGTGTTTTTTCCATTTCTTCACATCTCTTCTATTTTTCATTTTTTACCTGCTAGTGGAGCAGAACAGCATGCCGACAGCTGCATATTAGACCTATAAGAATGGTTAAGTAATGTATTCAGGGATGCATGGATTCTGTATTTTTCTCTATTATGTGAAGGTGTTAGGGCTATTTGTGGGGTATATGTTACATTCATACACCACTGCTCCAACAATTGCCTCTGACAAAGGGTTTCTCAGGGTTGTTGTTGCACTGTCAGTCAAAAGACATGGAGCAAAAACAACCTTATACACATCTCTGGCTATATTCAATTCATTATATGGAATTAAATACGAAAGCCTATGTTAGGAGGTATATTTAAACACCTTTATCAGAATTTTCTTATAGATGAAGTCCCCATAAATGGGCCTCTTCAGCATTTTTTTTTTTACATCAGCATCAGAAAACACATGGTGAGTTTCTGTGCTTTTAGACACTAATAGGTGGGGTAGGCAGGTTCCGAGGAAGTGTCGGTTTTTGGGAGAAATCTTGAATGTAAACTCTACCCCTCCCAACCAGTTTTCCCCTCAGCTCTTCCTCTCCCCTCCCTCTCTGCTCCAGCAAGCCCCGCCCACACTTCTACAATTAGGATAAAATGACATACTTCAGGATCCAAGGTAAACAGTTTAGTGGTACTACAACATGCAGCAGGTCCAGTTTGACAAGAAACACTTCTGTTACAGACACTTGGCTTACTTTGTTAAAGCGGTTTACCTGTCCAGCATCAAGGTTATAAGATCATTTATGCTGATGTTGACCTGGCTTCTTAGCTCTTGCACGGTCTACCTCCGTTTTAAGCGCCGTTATTCCGCCAGAGTCTCCTCTCCAGTATTTACTTTGTTCTGTTTATGTGTTTTCCATATTTTCTGGTTGGTTTCTACTGTCCGATGTTGTAGCACGCAAACTTTGTTCTGCTTCGTGCATGTTGTTGGAGGATGTGGAGTGTGCCTTACAACACGAGGGAGCAGCATCTGCCTCACAACCAATCAGCACTAAGGAGCAGCATCTGCCTCACAACCAATCAGCACTAAGGAGCAGCATCTGCCTCACAACCAATCAGCACTTAGGAGCAGCATCTGCCTCACAACCAATCAGCACGGGGGAAGTGGAGAATAGCTTTGTTTACAGTCAGAGAGAGAAAGAGTGGGCAGCTCAAAAAATGTAATATGTTGACTACACAGACCTAAAAAAACACAACGATATCATGATTTTCCCAAATGTCATCAAAAACTAAAGCTATTGACTGATATTAAAAGCTTTTTTTGTATATACACCACAAAAAAAAAGCTTCTTTAACGGAATCCTGCCTAGCCCACCTTTATCGCGTAAAGCTAATTATTTGATCATATGTGAATATTTATACACTGGGGTTTTGTATTGGCTTTGAAGATGCACCATTGCTGACACAAGGAATAATATGTTGGATGATTATATTTCTACTGTAGCCTAGCAGGCATAAGGAAAGGGCTGAGGAGGGGTTAAAGCCAATCCTCACTCCAAACATCCTGCTCAGAATAAAATATACTCCCAATCATAACCAAACTGCTTTATCTGACTCCCGTGCGCAGCAGCAACAGATTAAAAAAGCAAAGCAAGGGAGTGTGAATGTAAGTGTTCTGTTACATGATGCATAATTGCCCTATTAATTGCCTGTTTGCTGCAGAACTGTTGCTGGGCTCTGGTATAATATCTTAGAGCATGTCCCAGTGGGGTGATTCTCCCCTCTCCTTCTCCCGGCTTTCGTCTATGTCCTCCGTCTTCCTTCCTGTGGCCTGTGTTTATGTACTGAGGCAGAGAGCAGCAGTCTCATCACCATCATTTGGATGAGAGATGGAGTCATCATCAGCCAAGTCCCTTTGCTGCGGCCCCTTCAAAATTGGAAGGGGGAGGGGGGTGAGTTACCATGACAACCACATCATATTGGTCAATGTGAGACCAGTGAGGCCAAAAAACTTTCAGTTGTATTTAATTGTGCTTTTTTTTCTTTCTATGACCGCCCTGGTATTGCCGGTAGTCGGAGATGGAGTTGTGGGTGAAAGGGGGGAATAAAATTGTAATGAGGCAGCTGTGAGGGACGCCAATCTGCGGGGAAAGCTACTTTATGTAGAAATCCAATTTAAGAGATTGGCTTAGCCACTGAGTCACTGAAGGTAAATCCAATGGTAATTATAGGTAAATCAAAGGTGAAAGCATACACAACACTCCTGTACACAGCTCTCTTACTCACTCCCCCCTCTTATTTTCTCTCTCTCCATCCCCCCACTATACTCATTACTGCACATCACTATGCTACTTACTTAACAGCGGCACAGGCAGGGTGCATAGAGTAAAATGTAAGCATAAACATGTATTTAAGCCTTCATGGCTTAAAGGGACTTGACACAAATGCACTCCCTTCATTCTGCATCATGCTGAGGAAAAAGCAGTAAATATATGGAATTTTGCGACGTTTAATAGGGATGGATGTCCAATCAGTGTTGGTGGTAAATGCAGTCAATTCAAACAATAAATACCTCATTTAGAGTAGGACTGCTCCTGTAAGCTGAGTTTCACATGAGGGCATAGTGCAGCTAGCTGTGCCTACAGCGACTAGAATGAATTGTGTACATATGGCTGCTTCAGTATGCTGCATTTCTCCAGCCTAAAACTGGATGTTGCTTTAATATACATGGCTGATAACGGAATCAGCCAAAACTCTTTGAAACATGTATATTCCATAACATCCACTGCAATTGAATTTTTGGAAGCCATCTTTTTGCAAACAGTTTGCAATTTAGGGGAAAGTGTAGATCACAAATCCCAGCTGAAATGACCTGTCGCCCTCTGTAACTGTAAAAATGCACATGTTAAATGATTATAAACCTCTTCTGTTTTTACAGCACAAGAAAATGGATATGAATTTCGTGAAAAAATGTAAGGAACTTTCAGTTTGTCCCAAGTGTCTTTTGATACATGATCTCATCCTGCTGAATTTTCACAGCTAAGTGTATCATTTATTGTAAAGAATTTAAATGGAACTGTAAAAATGGGACTGTTTCCTCAGCTGCTTAACTGACACCTACCCCTCACTCCAGTCTCAGGCATTAAAAATGAGGATATACATGTGGTCACTCTCGCCCTGATGGTTTTGTTTACTCTTGGATGTCATGAAAGGGTATCAATATGAATTTCTGTCAATTTCATAAATCTCAAAAAATGACTTAAGGCTCATTTATGCTCAACATTACATACGGATCTGAATATGTTCGTGCTTCGCGTTCTTCTGCACGTATCCTTGAAGTTAGCGGATATGGGCCAGATGGAGTAGTACCACCAGAAACCATGGGGGCAGTGTTGCTGCTGTCACTACCCGATAAGCATCTCTAGAGAGAAATGAAGAAGACAATGGAGGGCTCTACAGTCACTGTGTTACTTTTTGTTTGTTGTTGTCAGAAACTTTGGACTCCAGCCTGCCCCCTGGTGGATGTAATGGTTAACATCCATGCCAACATAAAGGACGCATGGAAGTATGTGGGCAGTGACGGAGCCATGTTTGAAACGGACGCATACATTTTCATATGTATGGTGAGCATAAATGAGCCTTTAGAGGAACTTTAAGTGATGCCTTAAGGTCATGTTTTGAATTGAAATGCTCCCCTACTCACCCCACCTGTAGGATAAGCAACGGTGGCTTATGAGGAAAAAAGCTCTATTCTTTTGCACACAACAGCCACCTTTTTCTTCTTTATCTTCCAACTACAGCATTTCAAGCAGACTCTCGCTTAATACAAAAACACCCATGTATAGATTTTCCATTCTGTTCTACTTTGGAAACACAATAGTTTAAAATGGCCAGCCTCTGTAAGTCAAAGCCTGATCATTTATAACTATAAAAAGGCTAAACTGTTTTATATTCAGATGATTATGCACTAATCCAGAGTACTTACAAACATTACAGTCCATTTCCTACAAGTCTGTTCTGCTAAATGCTGATAACAACTACACACTGTGCGTTTAACCTTTGGCACTACCATCCAAGAATTTCCAGTAATGTGGACATCCTTTTCTTTTGATTATTTTGGCACCTGACCCATGATCATACCCTTGCCTTTTCAAATCACCTCCAAGCGATATCATTAACTACAGCTAAAACAGTGATGATAATGATAGCAGAAGTGTGCCAACTCTTACATCTCTTGCTGGGCTAGTGCCAACTTCCCACTAGGAGAGGAAGATTGTGAGTGGGAGGCAACAAAAACAGTTGATCTTCATAAACAAAAGAAACTGGTTTATCAGACAATAGCAAAAAAAAAGAAATATTAAGAACAGAGTATTGCTAAGACTTTGACATATAATCCATGGTTTGACATTATGGAATGACATTTTCGAAGTTGCTTCTCTGCTTTCCTATTTGTTCTGCCCTCCAAGACGCGCAGGAGCAGTAATATGAAGAATGTAGAAAAAGGGCTAATAAATAGGCAAGCTAGCAGCTCACAAGTCATTTATCCTGACCTTTTATTTCAGGCAAATCAATTTTCTGTAATATGCCACTAATATGAAGACATCTTTTATTTGTTGGGCTCTCAAACTAAATTGATGCCTTTTAGTAGGGTTGTGGCTGGACATCCTACCATTGCATTTGATTTGTTGCCTGAGTTCAGCCACTTTACAGCTTCAAAATGGTTCACAGAAAAGAATGGTGTGAGATGGTGCGCAGTACGGGGGAGCAAACACAAAGAAAGAGAGCTCACAGAGATTCAGAGGAGATTGCAGGGCTAAGTGGTTTTACACCTGAAAGTAGAAACCCATTGGATTGTGAGGCTATGTTTTCTTTCATATTAGTGTAACAGGTTAAAATGTCTCCTCTAAAGGTATAAAAGGCATCTGTAAAACCTCATTCAATTCAATTCAATTCAATTACCTTTCCCTTACACGTATTTCACTTACAACTCTTATCTCATGACTCTTGACATAGAAAAAATACTTTAGAATTGTCTCTTTTATGACTTGACTCTGACTTGCATTGATTGCCATAGGACTTGAAAAAGAGGGAGAGGGGCTCAAGTTTATCAATTGGTAAGCATGTTCTACTTTCTTTGTGCTTCTTCTTTCATTGTAGAAGACACTAAAATTACTTATTCGGTTTGTGGCAAGGGCTGGCACATGTTAGCCTGCATGTGTATTTGCATGCTGTCTTGTACGACAACAGTTCCTGTCTAGATGTTTAAGACGTGCCACGAAACTTGCGTGTTGCTTTCAAAAATCACAACGCAAATGTGAGCAAAAGCCGTACAACATGTCTGATTTGTCAGAGAATCAACAAAAAAACAGGGGCAACTTTAAATTTAATCAGAAATCTGTTTGTGTTAGTAACTGAAGGTCATTAAAATGCTGTAGCTACGGACACTGATGAAAATGTTACTCTTAGCATGCTGCAAGCTAATTGTCCTGAGTTAGGGTGACCAGATGTCCAAGATTTTTGGGGACAGTCCTCATTTTGGATGACCTGTGCCTGGCTAAAGCTGTCCCCGGAATTGTCTTTGATTTTTGCGTTTCATGCATGAGTGTTGCGTGTATACTAGAAAACGGTTAATACAGTAGCCGGGTAGGAGGTGAGTATGAATGAGCATGTTGCGCACAGTCCTGAACAACAGTTATTGCGGTAACTGGTCACGTAAAGTGCACCACATCCAAACAAAAAGAAGAGCGGAGCACGCTTTTTCCCACTGACATGAATTGATGGTGTATGCATGCATGCAGATGGCTCTAGAAACAGCGGAGATAAGACCCTCTCAGATTCATAGTGACCCCAATTTGCCCCCCAGTCCTTACATAATGTGACAGATTAATGTTTTGTTAATTTGACTAATTTTCTTGACAATATTCATTTCTTTTATTTTATCTCTAAGCTGGAAATGTCCCCAGATTTAATCTCAGAAATCTGGTCACTTATCGGAGTCACATGCTTGATACAGCTGGTGTGTTTTGTGTAATTTACTGAGGTGTAATGGAACGGCAAAGTTGCGCAGCACTCTGGGGCACTGATATATTATGTTTTGGAGTGGGGTGTGTAAATTAAGGCGTAGTGATGGTTGAATATTACTGCAGTGTGTTAGTGGCTAACGCAAACAATTTAAGTGACTCAACCACTGGGTCCAAGACGTGTGCTCAGTCAAAATAGTTGGTGGGCTGGTATTTTTTGAGTAAATGGACACCTGTATGATCTTACAATCAGTCAGATGCTAATGTTTATAATTGAAACGTGTTTTCTATACATCCAAAACATCCCCACAGTCATTATAGATCCATACATAGAGTCGTAAAACCTCTGTCAATGAGAGCCCGACGCAACTCAGTTAATTGGGATATGACTCGGGTAATAGAGACCTGACAGAGGCTCTGTAATAGAGAATTGGCTTAGCTGTTCATGTTTTTTTTCTTCCTTAAATTTCTGTATTGATGCAACTGGGGATAACATAATTAATGTGTAAATATGTCAACATAATGACAGTGACCGTGACATTAATGTAATTATAAGAATGTAGCATTTACTTGCCATGCCACTGTAACTTATTTGCTCCTTGGAAAAATAATAACCGTGTCCCACACTGCTGATTAGGCAATGCTTCATTTCTATGTGACTTCATCATTCATTTATATGTGGAAATAGAAAAGGTAGTGCGTTGAAGGCCTGAGGCGCTGCTTTTGTATATTTGTACTGACACAGTTTAGTGTCTTGAAGAACAGTGATTCAGTAACAGCCTAACCCAAGGGTGCTCCGCGCCTTCATATCTGTTCAGTGTGCATTATCTGTTCATATTTGAATATCTCTGTTCTTGGATTCATTCATAGCTGATGCTGTATTTGCTGACACCTCATAGTAAGTAAAGTCAACCTAGTTATAGAGAAGGGGAAACCCTGTGACAGGGTAATTTATTTACGCTGTCAACATGACATTTGTGCTTATTTCTGCCTATTTCCATAGCTTCGGTTGTATAAACAGCGAGAGAGTCACGTTAAAAGTCAATCAGATAGCAAATCTTATCACGGTTAACATTTGGTCCAAACATCCGTGAGGCCACTGTTGCTAGGGAAACCTTCACAGGTGGGCTGATTGTAATCTTTCATGGGGAATGCTGGAAGGGTTGCATATGCACAGATCTGACAATGCTGTGACAAACAGCCTGTGCTATTGAAGACCAATAAAACACAGTGCAAGAATACATCCCTCTGAAAAAACTACCAAGTTGAACCATGAAAGCTTAACAAGCTCCAGGCTACTGATTTGGTGAGCTCATTCTGCCACTGATCACCATCAGTTTGTTGAATATTGAATGTCGACTGATACTTTTACTTGACCAGGACATAGATCTGTTTTCTCTTTGTTTACATAAATAGCTATACTCAACAAAATAACTAATTCCTCATCCAAGATTGATTCAAAAATGCTTTGATTGGCTCCTTCAAAATAGCTGAGATCAGCATCAGGCTATCCCTCCTAGCTTTCCTTAATCTCTCTGAATAGATATCTGCATGATAATGAAACTTGAATTCTGCTCGAGAACATTGCATCTCTACTCCTCGCTCTATAGAAGTCCATTCCCATTTCTCAATTTGCTTGCTTGGTCTATAAATAATCAATGACCTACTTAGGGGAAAAAAAATCATTGGTGAAAGTCCACCATTTTCAACCCCCGGCTAAACTGGAAGCCACAAAAGGTTAGCTACTGCTCTCTGAGGCTTTGTCATCCTTACATTGGGCTTCGAGATCAAGGCTTACAGACATTTTAGCAGACCTATTAACTTTTGTCAATTTATTTGCTTCTTTATCCTGCTACATATAAAGAAACTTCAAGGGGGATATACGAGGACCACCAGCTGCATTAGTGAGATTTTAGCCTCAGAAAACATTTTTGCAAACAAGTATTTGGCTTACGAATGCCAGCACCGCTTATTGCTCAACAACCTTGCATTGTCAGGGCCTCCCTCAAATGTCTGCATTTTTTACCCTTCTCACTTACCTCCATTTCCCAATTTATATGTAAATTCCCTCTTCCTTAAACAATGCATTATGCACATCTATCCTTTAGTGGCAGAGGCCCAAAAAACCTACAGTAAATAGCCTGAGCCTTCACATGGAAAGCAGCCATGTGTGTCATTGCAATTTAGTACCTTAACTGTGGCCTTGTGAAAGCAACTAATAGCACCTTGAGTGTGCATTTTCTACCATCTGTGGCAGTTTGTGACCAAAAATATTTTATTGTTCATGCTGTAACAAACCTGGCAATAAGGTAAGAAACAGGGACAAACTCCCAGATTAACAAGAGTGTGCAGTAGGTGTGTGTGTATACAAGAGTGAACATCTTTCCCATCCACAAGTGCAATTTCCACTGAGGAAACCATCCATCCCTCACAAACTAGGCTGCTATGTAGCTATCATCCTTGCTAGTTACTAACCCGCTTGTCTTATCAACAGCCTTGTCTAATCCAGGAACTGCATCCCTGCAAGGACACACACTGCTCTAACCATCCAGGCCAAATGAAAATGAGACTGTCTGGCCTAGAGAATTTTACCTTTACATCACAAGCTGTTCCTGCCAATGTCACATATACAGCTACCTGTCTGATCCTGGATAGATCCTTCATGGCTCAGGAAAAGATGGACTCATTTGTCAGCTGCATGCATCCTTCAAAGGAACAAGCCCCCACAGAAGAGACAGCCAGCGTCTACCTAAGAACGTAGTTATCTAACATAGCGATAAATTAGCTGGTTATATCCTGCAAAGTGTGAAATCTAATAGTTTTGTTGCAGCTTCTTTCTTTTATTACCCTCTTAATTATCTCTCTGTGAGAGAGGAAGGCAAAAAGACAAAGTAAAACTTAAAACCTGCAAGTTGTTTTTTTTGTAACTTTTTAATTTCATTCAGTAACAGTGGAAGATCTGACTATGTGAGGTCACTTACAGTCCAGTTTACTCAGAGAGTTATTTAAATAAGATAACATTGACAAACAGGAGCAGATTAGTCGACTTCACACACAGTTGATGGATGATTTAGCAGATAATAACATAACATCAGATAATAAGCGCTACATTAAGCTCAAACAACAAACAGTTTGTTGTACTTTTGATGACAACCTAATATCACATTAACCAGAATTGTCAGAATCTCAGTTTTGAGACATTATTACTGCTTAATATCAAAATTATTATTATTCTTTGTGTACCACTACACTTACCACTACTTTTGCTTCATTTTGCCCCCAGCTGATACCATGATGTTGTTGTGAAACCAGAATTTAAAGGGAGGATACAAAACTTTCAATCAAAGTCCATCCTAATCATAGACAGGGCATCTTTGGGCAGCAAGGTGTGGCTGCATGGCTATAAGTAGGGTGACCATACGTCCTCTTCTACCCGGACATGTCCTCTGTCCAGCCTTGTCCAGGGGAGTTTATAAAATCCTTCAAATGTCCAGAGTTTGTATGGAAGTTTGGAATTGGTGTCGCATGGACTTACTGAGTTAGAAACATGTAAGAAAAACGCTTGACCCGAAAAACTCCCAAAATGTACTATGCGCGACTCAGTGACTCCACCCCCGTGTAGTCATGCCTTCTTTTTGGGGATTCAGAATATGGCTACCCTACTATAAGCCTGTTTACAACAACTGTTTATCTGGTTGTCTCTGCGATGAAGAGCCTGATTTATTTGTTCTTGCTAAAACACAGCATGTTCTGTCACAGATAGCTGTAACAGAGAACAGGAGGACCTGAATGCTGTCAGTCTGTTGAGTTAACATAAAAAAGCAGCGGGAATAGGCTTCACTGGTTTTTGAGAACAAGACAAAACATAAAGCTGAGCTTCGACTTCTGTCTTCAAAAGATGGTCAAAAAGTGACTGTGTACTAGCAACAGTGGGAGAGGGGTTTAACCATCAACCATCAATCAGCATTATAGTCTCCAACGAGTTAATCAGGAAGAAGGCTAAAGAAATGTAGTCCCGGTAGACTTTAGTGCATGTGCTGGCTGATGGAAATAAAGGCTGAATTAGTAAAGTAAACCCCACTTTTACTGTGCCAAAGTCTTACTCAAAAATAATTAAAAACCTGTCTCCTATTGATGTCTGCCCTAAATAGAGGTAAGGTGAGTTCATAAATTGAAACTAATAAAACCGTGAGCTACTAATTGAAGTTTTATTGTAATCTGATTAGATAAGTGGCATTCAAGGAGTGCTGATTCAGAGTACAACAAGTACAACAGCATTGGGATGCTCAGCTGTACGCATAATTCCACTTTAGGGGTTGATACTAAAAAAGTTATCAAACATGGCATTATTGATCAACCAGGAACCTCTGAAACACACATTTGCCAAGAAACATGTAACAGTCTCTCATTTTAGATGGCAATAAATGGAAATGTACAGACTGATGTGCAAAATACAGACAAGCAGCATTCAGTGAGGAGCAACATAAGGGAAACACAGCCGTAGTTTAGACAACTCGATTTAAAGCTCCTAGGAGGAACGTTCAACGTGTGTCAATTTTGGCGCCCCCTGTGGACAAAATTAGTCTTGGCTTATTTTGTCGCCTACATTCTTAAACAGTATCCTCCATCAAGATGCCATGAATTTCAGTCTATTTCATAGGGACCTTTAAAGATAAACAAATACTCTTTGGATTCTTGTTACTATTCACCAATGCATGGCTCCAGTACAACTATTGCATTGAGCAGAATTGCACGTAGAGCTGTTGCACTAGATATCAGCACACTGTGATCATCTATAAGTCCATCGAAATCACAGACCAGCCAATGTTGAGTACATTGCTCCTCAATAGTTAAAAGTATGCCAGAACTCAGGAGTACAAACTTTTGGAAACAGAAGACACACAAGAAACTTGACCCTAGTGTACTTTCCTCACACAAAACCATACACACCAGACCAGCAATTCCAAGATCCCATTATTTGCTTCCTCCAAGGAGTGCTCTGCCCTAATGATCATTTATTGATACATTCATTAAACATTTATCAACATTAACTAATTGCCATTTGCTGCCTCTTAATGATTAATGACCCCAAATTACAGAGGAATTCTTTGTTTGATCACACAATATTGGAGGCGGTGTAACGGCACCTGTTAAAATTTCACACTAAAGTGCACCCTAACCCATTTTGTTTCTCTCTTTTTATTCCTAAACTCAGTGAGAAAAACAGAGGAGGCACTTATAATAGGACAATTCAAGAGAGACATTGTGTTTATTTTGTGAGATAACCCCATGCTGTGTGCTTTGAGAATATTACATGAAGAGGAAATCTGAGAGCTTGGAAGTTTTATTTGATGTCCCACTGCTGGGCGGTGGATGGCCAAATATTTTGGCTAATGTTTTGATTGATGTGTTTCTAAATCCTTCCTCTTCAGCTCAGACTGCAGTACACTGCTTGTCACAAGATGCGACTCAAAAAGGGAAAGGTTGATCAAATATTTATTTTTCACCGCTCTCAGTTGGGTTTTAAAGCAATAAACGCTGAGAAAGGAAAAACTATTTGAACGTGAATTTGAGGTGAAGTTTGTTTTTTTTTTGTCACACGAGAGCTTCATAAACAAATCAAACCCAACTATAAATCCGAACGATGAAGCACAAAAGAAGTCCTCCTCTTCACTTGTAGAATATGCGAGTTATTGGCTGAGAGCAGGGACTTGTGTGGTCTGAAATGCTGCAGAGCGTTAAACGATGTTGAGAGGCTCTGCTGTGGCGTGCAGCTAATACAATTTGTTTCCTGTGCCTCTGCTGCTCTGCTATGCTGGATTAATTTTCTGCTTTCACCGCGCTCCCTCTGTATCCATCTGAAAGAGGGTAAGCCACCAACCACCAACACAAACGCAGAGACCAGTGTAGAGCCAGGCTGAGCACTGTGTCTTCTTGCACACACACACACACACACACACACACATAAATTTGCCAAACGCTCCATTGCTCAAGCACAGAAAAGGATTAATGTGTTGGCAACTGGCCCTCTAGATCTCCGTTCACAACGCCCACCTCACGAACCCTTCCTTCGACACAAAAACACATCCTCAGCATCATCTCATCTACACTGATCTTTTTGTCAGCATTCGTTTTTAAGGCCAGACAATGAATCCTGCTGCTCAGATGGAGAGTCGAGCTAAAGGTACTAAAGGCTGAGACGTCAGATACAGAATAAAGAGCAGCAGCTGAAAAGGATTAGATTTATAAGCCTGTAGAAAGAGGGAGCAGGAGTAGAAAAAGGGACCAATGCTGGACAACAAGGTGAGAAAGTGTAAAGTGGAGTCAGGTAGGGGGGCTGAGGTGAATCTTTGGGTGGTAATGCTAGGGTGTGAGGGCAAAAACTTGGTACATGGGCATTTTGGGCTGAATTTTTTAGTGTTTAAATCGTACATCAACTGCAGTTCCAATAAAGTTGGGATGCTGTGTAAAATGTTGATAAAACAGATTGTGAGGGTTTTTAAAAACCTTTTAAACCCTGAATTTCAATTGAAAATAGTGCAAAAACAAAATATAATATGAAGTAGGGCTGGGCGATAAACCAAAAATTTACAGATGCAGAAATTAATGACAATAACCGATGTCATTTTGCCCTTGTCAATATATTCAGTGTCAAAAAAATAAATAAATAAAAGTTGGTTTTGGATGTGTGTAGGTAGACTTTGGTCTCATGCCCTGTAAAGATGCTGTCCTACATCCGAGACGTGACTCCAACCCATCAAGTCCATAACAAAGAGGGAAAGACAGGTGAGGAAATGGAGGACGGTTCAAAAGTTGTAGTGGCTGAAGTAGACAGAGTTAATGTGGGAGGAGGTGAGCAGCTTGTAGAGTAGTTATTGTCCATTTATCGTTATCGAGGTGAACTGCTCAATATATCGTGATATTGATTTGAGGCCATATCGCCCAGCCCTAATGTTATCCTTTGTAGGGCCCAGCGCCAGGTTTCAACCAATTCTTTACCTCACTATTTATTCATTCATCCTCGTCCCCTTTTCCACACCCACTAACTCCCAATCAACCAATCACAGCATACCACTTTACCTGGTTCGTTTGAATCACATACCTGGAAATGTTTTTAGTTTTGCAAGAGCAGAACATCGGATGGGGGAAATGAGAATTAAGGGAGTTTAGAATTAAGAGTCTGCATGAGACAAGAGTATGATAATTTAAGGATCATGTTCATCAGTGTAAAGTTGTGAAGATAGATCGGTTTAAAGGAGGAATGTCCAAAACCGATATTAAATGGCAATGATCCTCAGGTATCATATAAAGACATGACTCTATAGTGGAAATCACTGTTTGGACTTTTCCATTTTTCAAAATTTAGGCACTTTTTTGTAATAAAATTGATTGCTGTCTCTACTTTTCTGTATCAAATCATTTTTTCTATTTTTATGTTTAATACTCAAGTCAAAGGTAGACAGGTTTCTATGGAATCATGTAAAAGTTTCATCCAGAATACAAGACAGAGATACATAAAAGAGTTTAAAAGGAAGAATCATCTTATTTCTTATATTTTTACACTGCATGTGTTCATTCCTTGTCCTAAATTATTACCTTTGTTACCTGCAGTTTTGACAGGTAGCCCGAGAACAATTTATCTGTGTCAATGAGAGAACAGAAATAATCCTGACAGCATCAAAAACATCCGTCTACTAGGTACTGATTTCAATTGTCTCAGCAGATCAGCATTTGCTTTTTCACTGTCAAACATTCCCATGGAGATTTATCACTGCATATTTACCAGTGCAATATCTCACCAAAGTATTTATTGAAGATAACAGCAGAGATCAGGAGCTTTTATTTTGTGCATGTCTTACCAACATTTAAATTATGCAGTAGCTCCCCCTGTGGATATAGCAGCTCATACAGCTGTGCAAAGGCACCAAATCCACACACAATGTGAGACAACAAGTTTACTGCTGCTCAAGATGGTAAATTTTATCTCTACATGGAGGTACTTTATTTCCAGTAGTAATATTTATGTTTGGAAAGACCGAATTTACCACAAATCTTTAGAGTAGGTTGGAGGATAATACCAATTTCTAGCCAAAACTTGTCAAAAAGGAAAACACAAGTATCTTTCCCTGATTGCTGCTCATTATCATACACTTAAGAGCTGCACGAAGGATGCACTGAGAAACAGAGAGTAATTTTGTGCTGGAGGAGACCTCTACCTTTAAAAAGCTACCCACGTGAGGCAATACTTTCGGAGTTGTTCAAGCAGCTGGATCGATTTTTTCTGCTACAGCTATACTCTCTACAATACATTTCCCCGCTGTCATTCCACACCGAGTGCAGCTGTCTACACAAGCTGGACAGAAACTCACAGAAAGTATCATTCTTTTGTATAAATTACACAAAATCAGTCCAATTTGGCTGCAAGGCTCATACTTGAAATTCAGTGCAGGCGTACCAGGACACTTGACTTGTAGATAAAAGCAACTGTTAGAACCATAACAGCTTTTTATTAGGGTTTGCAGCCTGCATATAAAATTTAATCTTTTCTCTAGTTTGCTGAAGTTCCAGTTACTTTTTCTCTGAAGGAGTGTAACGCATTCTCACACCACTCTTTAGATCAAATGTATGTTAAGAAAGAATCCAGTCCTGGTTTAGGTTTTCCCACATTGTATCTCTGAGTCCTTACTCCCTTTCACGCATGTCTATAACACTCAGATGATTGAAAAGCTGCTCTACACTTAAATTCTTGCACTTTGACATACATTTCACAGGCACTCAACCTTTTAGTTAAGACCCTCCTTATTAATGTGCTGTGCTCAGCTGGTCACACACACATATGCACTCCTGTGTGAAGGGCATTTCATAAAGCATTGCATTATTGTTATTAGAGCACGGGCGCAGTGCCCAGTCGCCAGTGTGGCGTTGAGTGGAAGCAGTCATTAAATTTAAATTGAGCAATATTTTTGTGAAGCATTGAAAGCTCATGCACAGTATGTTCATATTGACCTGGCACTTCTTGTTAATTTGTTGTATAAACTTAACTTTATTTGCTTTCTCCTAATGGATATGTATGTTTGTCACTGAAACATTATAATACACCTGATGCATGCTGAACAATTGCTCACTGGCATCTTTTATCAGTCAAAAGTACAGTAATTTTCCAAAAAGTGCAACGCTAAGGAACATGTAAATAGTTTTTAAACTGACTCAAAGACACTCCCACATTGAATAAGTCAACACAGGGACATTTATAAATGTACCTTGTGTATAAAAAACATCTGCATCTTTCAAATTCAGCCAGATCTTACAGTATTCAGCTATTATTAATAGTGATGCCTTTCTCCTCCTCCTCAGTTGATCAAGTTCACCCTCCAACGCCTGCCAATCATCCTGCTGTCTGCTTTGAAATAGTCTGTGTAGCCTGAGGCTGTAGTAACTGTTGTATCTAAAGCCACCGCAGACTCTGACAAAGCAAAAAGTCAGTTAAAGCAGAAACAGTAAAAAAAGAAAAGGATCTAAAAGTACTCGTGCAAGTTTTTGAACAGCATTAAGGAGGCGTTCTGCTGCAGAGCTTGTTTTTTAGACTGCTTTTTCCCAGCTAAGGGAAATGTTTATGATCTCTCCAGTGTGATTCAAAAACTTTAAGATGGGGACTATCTTTGAATCATTTAGATACATTACTTATATTTCTACAACACCTAACAACAAAAACATTTAGAGGTCAGCCTTCAGTTTTAGGGCCCAAATGCCTTGCCCTTCAACGGCTACAATGAAGAAAACCCCTCAAAAATAAAAGGCTTATACAGGATTTACATTCAAACATTAATCTATCGTTTCCGTACCATTTACCCTGCTCAGGATTGCAGCTAATCTCATCTGCTATTGGGTGAGCGGTGGGGTACTCCTAGGATGTGCTGCCATTCAAGACTGACAGAGGGCTGACTTATAAGTACAGACAACCAGCCATGCTGACACTCACACCTACAGCCAATTCAGAGTGACTGGTTAACCTACAGAGCATGTGTATGGACTGTGAGAGGTATCACCTAGGAACACCACCCCACCCCCCCACACACAGATGAAGAGTATGCAAACTCCACGCAGACAGACCACATCTGACACTCAAACCAGGAAGCACTAACAACTGCACCACTGTGCCGCCTCCATGAAATACAAGTACGGGTTAATGTTACAAACCTGTACTCTCTGACTGATTCCCCTAATTGTACGGCTTATTTGTTTTTAGCATGGCGCATACTTGCTCACAAAAGCATCTAATTTAGTGAGTTATTTTGTATTTGCAATGATGCAGCTAACAAGCACTTAAGGCAGCTTAGGCCTCGAATGCACACCAAGAGGTCAGGCATAATGTAGCCATGTTAAACTGAAGTGCTTATGCCCTGTAATCTCCAGATAAACCCACGCACATCTAAGGTTTTTTTTAATGTAAAACAGCACAACATGAGAGAATCAATGTCCTATTCATCTTTCATGTTTTATAGAATAATATTGTGTATAGCAGGTTAAATTGTGCTTTAATTCCACATGGTGTTCTGGAGTCTTATCTTAGATGCCAGCAGACTGACAGAGCTCTTCTCTCATTATCCATTCAGTCAAAGACTGGCAAAGCAGTTAACTGCATGGCGCCTCTGCCCCTCATGCTTTGATCTTCTCTTGGCATTCTCTCAGCTCAACCCCGTTTTCATCGGTGCGCTTTAGCTAACAAAAGAGAGCAGGAGAGGATAGATATCTCCCTGAGAACGCAGAGATCTCCACCTAGGGACTTCAAAGCAGGCTTTGAAGTTGGGCAGGAGACTGCAGCATCCACAGAAGAGAAGAGAGGAGCCGCTTCACTGTCCTACTACGCTGCGTCATTAACTCTTCACTGTTATTCATTCTGCCTAGTTATTGAACGAGGTGTGACTCCCCTCTTGTGTTTTCTGTAGACTCATAACATTGTCATTCATAGCAGCTTTCCAAACTGTGGCATTTTTAAAAGTCAGTTTCAATCACGAAATTTGTCAAGGGCAGGTTCAAGTAAAATAAATAAATAAATAAATGATTTTATTCATGTCCCATGAAAGAGTCCATAACAGGAAAAATCAACACAGTATTTCTTGAAATGTGTTTCTAACCCATAAAGACCAGAGAAAAAACTCACTTATTCTACTTTAACAGGTAAAATTAGCAGAGATAGATAATAATAATAATAATAATAATAATAATAATAATAATAATAAATAAATAAATAAATAAATAAATAAATACTCTTAGTGCTCTGTGGTGACATTATTTCTGATTTAATTTTTTATTTTATTTTTTTATATTAAAGGGCAAATGCTTTTTGTCCTGTACAGTGACACTGACTGAGTTCGCTTAGACTTGGGTCCACTGATTTTGAGCTTTATCCTGGTTTTAGTCATATTCTAGACATGACATTTACCTGGTTATTCATGCATGATGTTTTCATAAAACAGTCAAATTTTTTCAATCTGAGAAAAATTAGACCTCTGAGTCTCACTGTGAGCTTGGATCTATTAGCATCATGATGTGAATATGGCATATCAACCTGATTTCTGGCAACATTAGGGGAGAGCAAATAGCAAATATTTCATGTCTCTATGGGTTAAGATATGCAGCCTTGACTGGTTACAAAAGTGAGTTTCTTTGTCGTTCCAGCAGTAAGATGGTAAGTTGCTGCCATTATGTTTGTTTTATGTATTTTTTTACTTGGTTTGTGTCATACTTGCCCAGGTAGTTGGCAGCTGTCAGAAACCAGGGTGAGGTATACTCATGGCACAGTATCCAGTTTTCTCTCTGTGTTCTCCTGGGGTTTCTCAAAACTGGGGTAAGGGCTTACCCCAGTTTCTGAAATTGGGATATGATGTGTACATGCACAAACATAAAAGCAACATTATCAAAAACAACCAAAACCAGGATGCTCTGCTTCATATCAACATACACTCTCCTTCTCTATAACCACCAGATGACCTAAACTCACATCAGATCAGATCAGACAGTAGCTTATCATTCAATGATCTTGTCCATCAAGTGACACCTGCCATCCAATCACAGTGCCCTCTGAGTGCATCAGATTTACCTACTGCATCATGAAATGACACTGATGACACAGGTTACTTACAGGAATTGTATTGTTCTTGTATGTTTATTCACATGTGTGGATAAAAATGTGGCAAAAACAAGTAGACATTGCTGCCAAAAAAACTCTTAAATTATGCTCAGATGAAGGTCAGTGGTTTATTTTGTCAGTTGGGGAAAAAGACGAGGTGTGTTAATAATGTCAATTTGAGTATGACTACAGATCAAATACACATTTTTGCTTGAGCTCAACATTCACATGTTGTACCTTTACCGCTGGCACTGAACTTTTTTTTTTTTCTTTATTTAGTGAAGAAAAAAAAAAAAAAAATGGCCGCCCTCCTGCTAATATCTCCCTTTCAACCAAAGCATTTTAGGATCTCTTTCTGAACAATGACTGCTAGGTTGTTAATGCTGTGCTGGTTCTCAATCATTTACCAGAACATTCAGACTTTGTTTCTCAAGGAGTTTATCTTGTTCTCACTGGGGGCAAGATCCCAAGGTCACGTCTTCGATCGTTTGTATTTGGCGCTTCACCATGTGGGTTTTGCCTGTTGGTTTTAAAGATACATTGTGTTGGTGGTGCCTTTATTTTTCCTTACACCAAACGGAAAAATCTGTCTAATCTAACCTTTGGGCCATACACTAAAAACGGATCCAGCACCCAGGTACCACTGTGTTTTCAATAACCTTTGCCGTTTCTCAGTGAGTGTTTCAGGGTTCTTTTTGAAGTGAAGCAGGAAAAACAGCTGAGGTGCCTCCGTAAACTGATCTCAGAGGACTTCTTTCTTTGTCTCTGGCAATGGTTCCACCTCCACCTTTCTCCCTCCTTCCTTTCTACCTTCCTTCTCTTCCTGTCAAAGCAATAGGGCAGATATTGATTACCTCTGAGTGTTTGCTGTACCTGGGAGTCATATGCATCTTACCATTCTCTCTCTCTCTCTCAGTTTCCACACATCCCTGTTTTATCATCAGTTTCCCAGGGGGCAAAGCATCTCAGGCAGAGAGGTTTTCTTTTCTACAGGAAGGCAGTACAGTTTTATCTGTGCTAACACATAACTGCTGGTCTAAGGTAAAACAATGTTATATGAGCCTGGGTTATGATTTTAAGCTCTGATTGACAGATTGTCTTATGTTTTATTGTTGCATTTTTGCAGACATTGGCTGTACGAACAAAAAAACAGATCACATGTAGGGCTACTAAAAGTGTTATCAGTAATCTTTAAACTGTGATTATGAAGTTGTTAGCCAAAATCACGTTACCTGTGTCGTTTTCAAGGGCTTTTCTTCTGCTGAGCTCAAGCAGCTCATTAGCAATTTGCCTCTGAGTTGTGGGCGGAGACAGCGCTGCTCTGCACACTTCTACTCGAGCTAGCTTGCAGCCTAACATTGTTGGTGTAGTAGAAGAAGAAGGCAACATAGAGGCATGATAAAGGCTAATATCACAATTAGCTTTATTACGAGCATTTCAAACAGCTAACGCAGACGCTTGTGATTGTCCTCTCTATTTCTCTGAGCCTGGCCTGCATAGCGGAGCGGAGCTTGGAGTGGTTACGTAAGAAATGTCACTGTATCTGATCCTGCTGTTTGGGTCTTCCTGAGATTCACAGCAATTTGAATGAAGAAATACTCAGAAATAAAATTTTGCACTTCTTTTTCTCATGATATGTCCTCTAGTATCAGGAAATTGCGATATGAACATGAAGATAACAAGAAAAACATGATTTTCATGGGAGCGTGTCTAAATATTCGCAGTAATGCAAAAAAAGCAATTTCAACTCAAAAATTTCGGTGCGAGAAATTGGTAGTCTATTTGATTTTGGGCTTCCAAACTGCTCTATAATGACTCATTTCTATTTTAAGCATCCAGCCTGGTGTGACGGTGTGTGTTTGAAGGGACCTATCAAAGATAAAAGAGCCAATAGAACCTGGTTGTCCCTCTTAACAAGCAATAAGCCCAGAGAATTAGTAAAGATTTTCTCTCTTGTCTCTTCTGAGGCTTATCCCCGCTCTGACCCAACAGACATGGTTGGTTCAGCTGAGGTGTTGATGAGCCATGTCATCCCAATTAGATGAGCACCAAAAAGCAATCTGTTTGCAATTGTTGTCTGGAGAAAATAAGAGTGGAAAGGTAAGACAAAGCAAAGAGCAAAGCAGAAAGAGGTGTTGACGAGCTTTGGACCACCAAACAGAAAATCGTTCCTTGGACACGAACTACCACAGAGTGACCGGGTTTATTGAAGCAAGGGGTTTATTTTATGTTTTTCTCTGTTGTTTCTTAAAGAATATATGTGTTTTAAACATTTATCGGATACATTATTTATAACTAAAGAAAAATATAAAATGCATCTAATATTGTATCATACTACAATATTGGATTCAGTGCTTTTAATCATTGCATGGTGAAAGTACATACATAGAGAACTATTCATTCCTCTTTTTCAAATAGTATAAATTATTTAAAGCAACATTTTAGGCATTCATCAAGGAGGGGCACGTCTAGACTCTTTTAAGTGGACTGGCTGGATTGTGCCACTGACACAGACGGGGATGGTGCTGACAGGAATGACACAGACACACTCAAATAAGCATTTACTATGAATGTTGCAGTATTTTCATGGTATAAAAGAACATGATTCTCTCAATACTGCCTTGGACCTGTAATGACATCAAATAGTAGGTCTTTCTGGTTAATTAAAAAGTAGTTTTGTTAAGTATTTATTTTAGTAGCTTCTTTAGATTTAGTCTCAGTATTTTGCTTAAAATATCTGTTTGTTTTAGTCACATTTTTAGTCGTTGCAAAGCCAAAACAAAGTCATTATATTTTAGTCTAAGTTCTCGAACTAATTCCATTCTTCAATCTGAAATTGGTATAAAGTTTGTACTAAGGTTTAAACGTGCAATATTTCACTCTCTAAACACTTTAACTTTTCTAATGTCTGATTCCTTACCTTAATTGGATAATTAAGTAAAAACTCTCCCACAATGCAATGCTGCAATGCTGTCCCTGCTGATCTATTAGAGCAATTTAGACGATTGATCCTCACTCCAAGTCAAACATTCTTTCTGTGGCCACTATGGCGACAGACACTCAGTTCCCTGAACCCTCGGCTGCTTCCTCAGTGATTAGAAGTTCATCATTACTGTGATATGGGTGTCTAAACCTGCTCTCCTGCAAATCATTAAACTCAGATAAAATGAAGAGTAGACACGGAACAGCTAAGAATGGCTGCCTCAGATCCTGCCATGGGAAAATGTTGGATACTGATGATAGTGGTGGGTGAGACGATTTTGAAATATTTGCCCCATACCAAGAAATGACACATGATGAAAAGTGATGGGAAAATAACAAACTTCAGTATATGCAGACTGCCAGACTTTAGTGATCTACATGTCAAGGAGTACAGATATGAGAAGCCACTTGGTAAATCATCTCCCTGAAAAGTTTCAAAGAAATGCAGGAAAAATGCCCAGCAAGGCCAAAAGACTTCAGAGGAAATGTTTCCAGCATCGCTTCTTAGTTACAGTGTGAGAGCTCAAGAGATCAGGAGACGATCTACTGAATACATAGCAGAAGACCTATGGACATTTTCTGTAATCAACAATGAAGGATTCACAACATTACAGCTGGAGTCAAAGTATAAATTCCCATCACGGCTGTACATAAGTCAAACACTATTACCAGCTCTCCATGAAGAGACGGAGGCGATGGTAAGACAGAGCCTCAAGCAAGAAGAGTGCATCTCACACACCAAAGATGGACTACATGAACGGCTCTGAACGGCTTTTTCTAAAGTCTTCATTTTCCTTCTTTTATATAGGAATCCTAGCATTTAACCTCTCTGACTTCACTGTCTACTTAAACAACTAACAACTTCGAGTATTATAAAGTCATTGTATTCCTGTTTGTTTTATTTAATTTTTTTGAGTAAAGAAATACAAAAGAGTGGGAAACAGAGTGAAGTCACTCAGCAAAGACAATGGGTAGCATTTTGAATTAGAGAAAGCAACTGTCAGTTAGTTTTAACACTGCCAGAGTAGCAGATTTAACACGTCCTACTGCAAACCTGAAAAAAGGCACATCCTAGGATTTTTGGATGGCCAACCATGTTTCGGGAGTCCTATACCACCCTTCAAACTTAACCCTATTACCAAGAATGAGTTCAAAGTGACATCCATCTTTAAATTTGACCCGGTTTGACTTTTAACAGCAGTAAAAAATACCCTAAACATCATTTTTTAAGCCTGAAACTTGATGACTTTTCCTGAAGTTTCCCAAAATACATGAAATTAATTTAAAAATATTCATGTGTATTTTTGTTTATTTTATACACATTTTTCCCCTCTAAGGCTGTTATGGGTCAAATTTGACCCGTATCTATATTTAGATGGATTTTACATCTGGCAGTGTGGGACAAGTGACAAACAGTAACAACAGTGTTCAATATAAGGTTTGTTGTTCAAAAAGATATATTCAAATCATTATGAAACTATCATCAGACATACAGTCACACAGACACACCTAGACAGAGGTCAAAATGACCTAACTAGTCAAGAGAACTTTCTGTGACAGAAAGCTGCTCTTTGAACTCTTTGAAGGGGCAATTTTGACCCGGAACATACTGTGAGGGTACAGGATTTGAACAGTATGTGAGGGTTAAACAAGAGGCAAAAACTTTTTTTACTCCAAAATAAAAAATTTCAAACACGTTCTGTAATATTGATCACTCTTCTCCTGTTTTATTTCAGTGAAAATTGCTTCAGTCTTTGACTTGTTATTCAAATCACCCAGCTTGTTGGGGCTTAAAGGTTTCCATTTAGTCCAAAAACTCAAACAGAACCATCCATCAACATGCTTTTCTGATGAAACTCATCAATCAAAGACAACACAGAATGTTATTATTTCAGATACATGTCCTAGAAAATTACTTCAGTGTACTTCAGACAAAATGGTGATAATGGCCGAAAGATAAATAATTCCTATCAAATATTTAGGATGTGCATCTAGTCTTTTTCATTTACCAATAATGTTTGTTAAAAGAAAAAAAAAAAATATTGTTGCACTGACTACACTCAGAAAGACAAACTGATTATTGTACACGGCCTCACCCCTTCTTGTGTGTACACTGTATTTTACCGTTTCTAACTGTACAAATATTTCTCTCCTCCAAGTAATGTCCTTGCTGTGAAGCTTCAACCTTGGACTCTTTCGCAAACACAGAAACAGAGCAGATGGGGACTGGCAGGATTAGGTTTCATTTATGTATGTGGGTAAATGAAACATTTCCTCTTTGGCCTTGACTAAAGTCTCAAAAGACTATAAAACTTTGGAAATAGGCAAAAAACAAAAAGGAGCACAAGAAATAATGAGATAGTTATTCTGGATAGTTGCCATTGCACTTCTGTGATTGTGTTTTTTAATTTTTCTTGACCTCTCAGTGGAGCGGAATAACAAATAGACCGTTTTACATTCATGTCTTTGCCTCCTGTCATATTATAGCCACAAATGCACATTTTAATAAGGCAGAGGACAGGTTAGAAAGAAAGAAAAAAAGCGCATACAGTATGCATAAAGCAACAAGATATAACCAGCATCTACAGGGCAAACTTTTTAAAACAACATGCATTATTCTTGCAACATTTCCTACACTTCTTTTGCAGCTAGTTTTAAATAAAATCGAGCAACAACTCTTCTAATGTGAGTCGTCTTACATTTTTTTGACACAAATGTTTTGCCTCGACTTGCTGAATCATCCAGAAAGTGAATCACAAGTTTTCAGAGCATAAATAAACCCTATATTTACAAAAATAAATCTTTAATGTCCTGCGGCTACGTCGCTACAGTTAACACTTTTTCTGACGTGCACTTAGTGAAAACCTCTCAGAGCCGGCACCTTGAATATGCAATCTAGGTGTAAACACAGAGGCACTTTGTAGCGATGCAGAAGCCTCAACAACCCTTGTCACCTTCCTTTCAGCCTTAGCAATCGGTCTGTTCTTGAATGATACAGCAGCCTTTAGAAAACGCTTCAGGTGTCAGCTCTTTCCTGGACAGTTTTAGCTCATATTTTTGGTCTGCCATGAATAAATAATGCTGGGCTTTTATGACAGTGACAGCAAGAAGTCGAGACACGGCTGAGAGGGAGAATGGAAAGGGTGTATGTATGTGTGCGATACAGGGCATGCATGTTTGTGTGTGTGTGTGCAGTATGTAGTGGATGCAGCTGGACTGGATGTATTATTGATGTGCTGTTAGCACTCCTGGGTAGTTGCAGTCTCATCAGAGTTTGCCAGGGGATTAACAGACTCGAAAAAGCAAACCAGGGGAACAGAGAAAAGGCACGGAGAGTATCCCTCATCCCGCTCTCCTCCCCCCTCTCCTCTTTGCTGAGACCAGCCATCATTTAAAGACAGAAGGCATTATCTTCATATGAGACATCTGGCTGGGTCCGACACTGTAGCATTATTGATTAGTTTTGATTTTCTTTTAATGGCCTGCTACTGCGGCACAATTTTCACATGGAGCCATTTCTAATGACTTCACATTACACATTTGGCACAGTAAAGAGATGGCTAACCAGTTTTCTGGTAATGCGTCTGTCTCTCTTGTTTACTAAATGTCTTGTCCTTTCCCAAACAGCGCATAAAAATGCGTGTGTGCTCATTTACACACACAAAGTACACAGTAAAACAGTGATCCACGGTACAGGCCTCGCCGCGTTTCACTCCAAGTTGTGTCATCCTCTATTATGATTTGATTACAGCAACAGAGAGGAGCCACTGAGGATGAGTGGATGGATGGAGGAGCAACATTCAGACCGAGTCCCCCAGAGATTTTGCGCATCCCCCTGGATTCCCCTGAGCAGGTTCAACAGCTTCAAACATTCCTTTGTTCCCCCGTCCATTAAAGCCATCAACACCACCAAGGCTTCAATGCATGTGTGCATATCTGTGCCTGCAGTTTTCAATTATGGTTTGATTATTAGTCATATGATGATGTGAACAGACATGTTCTCTTGGTAGGGCTGGGCGACATAACGATAATGGTATATATCAAAAATTAATTTCCCTCAATATCGATATAAAACATGGTCAATGTGCTTTTCAATAGTTGGCAATCTGCAATGTTTTGGTAGACTATATGAATAGCAAATGAAACGGGGAGTCACTTTGGGTCCGCTTCGCGCTGAACCAATTGTGATGAATTAGAACCAAGTAGCAAACAACTGCATAGTATCAGGCTGCAGCTACATGCAACTATAGCACTTTAACACGTGAAACCAACAGCACTGTTGGTGAGAAAAAAACAAAACGAGTGCTACCCTGGTAGAAATGCAGATGAAAGCTCAACAGATGACGACATCATCTGCAAAACTGACACGAAAACGTTGGTGGTGTGAAGGTATTTTGTTTTTTAAAGTCAGACGTGAAGCAGAGTAATGTGCACTGCAAGTTAAGTTAAGTACATGTTCTTGCAAATTTGGGAAATACCTCAAACCTTTTCACCACCTGAAGCAGCGCCATGCGGCAGAACATGCACAATGCAAAAGGTTACAAACCCTGAGCGGAGCAAGGAGCTCATGGCGCTGCAGCCGAAACAGCCGACCATTCAGTCCCCTCTCTCAAGCACAGATGTAGCTTAATGTATTGCAAAAGACATGCTACCAATAAATTACATTTTTTAAGTTATGATATATATCGATATTGACTGATATGAAAAAATATATCATGATAAACTTTTTCCCATATCGCCCAGCCCTATCACAGCATAAGTATCACAGCATTGCAAAGTCAAATGTAAATTCCCCACAGAGCTGATTAAGTCTGTCTCATCTTATTCTTATTTCATTCATCTGTCTCTTGATGTCCTCTGGATTTATGATTGAAATTTTTTCTACATCATAATAATATAATATAAGAACTCAGGGTTCATTGGTGCCCTGAGCAAGAATAGTACCTGGTGCCGAGTGCATCTCAATTGGCCTGTGCCTTGGGCCAGCCCAGACAATGGTTTGTAAGTCAACTACTGTGCATGTCCTGAATTTCTGTTGGAATATTTGGTTAAATTACGAAGGTGGAAAAAAACAGCCAATTCCATTGCCAAAGACAACTACTTTCATGACATTTAATCACCTTTTATCTCAACCTTTGCATGTTAAGAACAACATTAAGAACCTACAAGTGTAACATTTCCCAATCAACACAATACACTAATCACAGCAAAGGCTAAAAGAAAGATTTGCATCAGTGGACGATGGCGCTAAAAGAATTTTCTGACAGTCACTAACAGCTTCACCTCCAGTAGTTTTTTCTTCCTTTCAGATATTGAAGTCTGCACTTATGCATGGGATGAGACATTTAACAGTGCTTAAAGCAATGCTGCTAATAAGACAAATTTGCAAGTTTCCTTTCTCAAAGTTTTTGTGAGGTTGCTGTTCAGTTGAAGTGTCCAGAGGAGGAACTTGAAAGAAAGATCGGGGATCTAGAAAGGGATGATTCTGTTCAAACTCCTTCTCTTAACTGATATTAAGCATTTCTGCTAGTTTTTTTTTCTCTCCCTAGAATAATAGCCTGTTTAAAATGGATGTGCTCTTGTGTCAGTGTGTGTGGAAGTATAGATATGTTTTGAATCCTTGAATCCTTAAATGTGCACACAGAAGCAAAAAACAAACTGACTTTTTATCCATGGGTGTGTTTGTGTGTGAAGCTCCAAGGTGTCTCAGCACAGCAGGAGAAATACGTTCAGCGTGGGGGCACCTTCAGAGAGTTGACGCAAAAAGCAGATCTCAGCCTCCTGCCAGGCCTGACTCTAGTGCGCCAGGAAGACGGAGAGACTTTAGAGAGAGGGTTTCAGTCCTGGGAAATCCACCCTGAACCCACATTAAAGACTGACGATGCCAGACCGCACCAGCCTTGAAGATCAAATAGAGCAAATATGCAAGCTGTGAACCAAGAAGGTTCTGCCACGCCGGTGTTTAATTATTGACATTTACAGCACTGCAAGTTGGTTCTGTCGACTCAGCACGAGCAAACGCACTTACATTTTACTTTAACCCAATTAGTTTCATCAGACCGAGGCTTGTCTGAGTTGCACTGTGATGAGCAAGCGGTAAATAAAGTGGAACTCCAGCGCTGGATGAAAGAAACCAACACAGAATTTACATACACTTTGAAACTATGAATAAACAAAACAGAGGAAAACTGTGTTTCATCACAGGAGTAAATGCATATATTGTTGGCTATGCACAGGCTAACATCTATGAGTTGTAGGGCATGCATTATTCATTAATACAATGCTTTATAAACATCAGCCTCCGCCCATGCAATCATTTGAGCTCTTTATTAGTTGTGTTTTGTTAATAATAACCCATAAGACATTGCTGCTTCTGTGAAATAACCTTCTCGTGAATGATCGAAAAAGCTGCATCAGTAGCCTTCATATACAACATCTAAGCCTTGGCTCTATGACTGACAGCTGACAAGGGTTTCCTCCCAGACTAGGATCTATGAAGCTCACATCCCGGGGTACCCTCATCCTAATATAATTCTCTGTGCGCTGTGAAAGCCTGTTGCTCTCCAAAGCAAATCACATTAAGGTGCTATGGGGTTTTAGACATGTGTCTTTATCCCACCGAGCAGGCACAGCATGCATCCAGCCCATGTGTCATTTCCTATAGACCGCACCCTGACTGACACCAAGGAGACAGTAGCTCCTTTACACAGCCAATTTTACAGCACAGAGCAATGGGAAACGGAGGTGCAATGCTATAATTCCCACCATGACTGCGATTGCAGCAGCTTGCAGGATATGGAAAATGTATTACTTTGAAAATGTTTAAAGACTGCAGCTAATGGAGGACTAAAGGAAAAGGTCAAGCAGCAGATAAATATACTGTGCTCCAATGATGAATATAGTCCAGGTTCCAAGGCCTATGTAAGGCATGATGTATGGTTAACAGGTGGTTATGTAAATTAGATTCAGGCAAGGTTTGTCTCCCCCTGAGGAGACTTTATGAGGATTGATTTGATACGGTGTGTGTGTGTGCTCAGGTTGTCCCTGGAATTGCTTTTGCTTTTGAGAAGTGGCTCACTTTGTCTTTGGGTTTTGACCAATCAGAATCATAAAATTAACAAAGCTGGGTCATTAGTAAAGAAGCTGGGTGATGACGTGCTGTAATTTATATACTCAGACTGTTTTTCCCATGCAGCCATTTGCCAGTTTAAGCCAAACCCTCCAGTCGAAGGCTGATTTGTTTGGTTAAGCGGTATATTGTTAAAAGAACTGATGAACGCTGGCTGCTACGTATAAAGCCCATCAAGTGTGGGGTCAAGTGTATTGCCCGAGGACACTTTGGCATGTCGACAGTTGGACCTGGGATCAAACCTCCGACCTTCTCTTGGGAGATGATTGACTCTACCACTGAGCCACAGCCACCCCAGAGTACAGTGAGAACATCTGACAGTATCTTCCTGTTATATGACTTGTTATCAAACTATCTGTACTGTGTCCTGTAACTTACCCTAGGGTGACCATACATCCTCTTTTACGCGGACATTTCCTCTTTTAGGGGGGCTGTCCGGCATTGTCTGGGGAGTTTATAAAATCCTTAATGTCCAAGGTTTTGTATGGAAGTTTTGAGTTTGTGTCACGTGGACTTACTGAGTTAAAAGTGAGTAAAAAAGACTAGACCCGAGCCAAAAAACTCTCAAAATGTACTACACGCGACTCCCTGACTCCACCCCCACGTAGTCATGTTCTCTCAGAATATGGCCACCCTATCTTACCCCCACTTTCCAGTAAGGTCATCAGCTGCAATAAACTAACAAAGAATCACATAAAACCGTGAAGAGCCTTTTTGATTATGTACTGCATTGTTTTCAGAATCCATAAATAGAAACTTGATCTTTCTGTTTATCAGCAACATTTACCAACTCGCCCAAACACGTTTATTGCTGGAGAGGGGGGTTGATGACTATAGTCAGAAGATAGGACAGTGCTGATAGCTGGAAGATTATCAAAGAGACTTGGGAATGACATGTGGCAAAGGACGGCGGGTCAGATCGAAACCTTGAACCCTGGCTATCCATTGAGGACTAGTCAGGGAAAGAAGAAAACCCTTAAGGGGCAGATTGCTCAACCTTCGCAGAGTTTTACTATTATCATGGGTTTTATTTGTACACAAACAAACCAATCAATGTCCAAGCAAGAGACATGGCTGCACTATAAAGTGTCTGTGTTTGTCTGGCAGATGTTGATTCTCGATAGTTTCTCATGGTGTGAGACTGAAGCAAACAAGTTGCCCGGATTGGTTACAGTAAAGATTTTTGAACTCCTGGCAAAATCTGTGGAGGACAGAAAGGCTGCTGTCAGACCATCAAAATGTAACATTTTACAACAAGCCTCAGGTCTCAGGTGGTGAGTGACAGCTGCCATTCCTTCAATAAGCACACCCTGTTAGATATCCTTTATCCTCACTGCAGTCAGTCATCTGAGTTAAAGCAGGATACCTTGATCCTGGGTGTACAGAAAAAGAGTATACTATGAGTTTGCAGGTGCAACATTACAGTGTTTTTATTTTCTGTTTTCATGCATATTCTAGTTTTAGACTTTGACTGAGAATGAGGCAGATTTACAGCAGCAGTAAAACCTTTTAGTTGGATTTCGTGCCGCATTTTAGTGCTGTTAAAAACTTAACAGTAACCTTGGGTGTAAGAAAACGTACAAAACTTGGTGTGTTTGATGCAAACAATAAAAAAAGCAGCACATGTCCTTTCAGAGCCAGGATTACTGAGTGCTGACAAAATTCTGTCATTGTCTTTGGATGACATTTGAAAAGAAATTAAGGTCAAACTCAACCAACCTGCTAATTACTTTTGTCATTGTCTTAGAGATCTATTAATGTTCAACACCTTTAGTTTGACTCCCTGCTTTTAGAGTATTTTGCTGACAATTTTTGCATCTATCTGTTTTTCATTCATCACTTGTCTGCTTTTAATTAACTGCAAATCTTCGATTCATCATAAAAATGACTTTTATAATATTCAAAATCAAAGTCCTGCGAAGCTCGGACCATAAGATATGTACAGTCATGACAGCAGAGAAAGTGTTTGACTTTATTTTTCTGCTTTTGCCCATTTTTCTATCCCCCTGGAAAAAAAGAGAAAAAAAACAAGAACCTTTCAAACTGTCAGACCTTAGTGACCTCTGTCCATGCCAAACTGTTTATCCTGCATCTGCATCAGCTTAACCTTGTCAGTCTGCAGCCTTATTACCAACACCGCTTATTCCATACATTACCAGCGCTTGCAGATGGAGAATGCTCAGCAAAAGCAGTCAGGCATAACTAATCACTCTTGCAGATTGGTTCCTGGTTTTGACAGCTAGCTCTGGTGGCTTGAGTGTCTGATTATGTGCATAAATATGAGTGTATGAACAGGTTGCCATTGTCCTCACTGGTTCTTTAAAAAAACAGACTCAGAGGCAAGGTCATGACATTAACCCTTGTTTTTTATTTTTTCTACCAACTGGACATGTGTTTTAAGAAGTCTGAAAAAACAGTGAGAAGTATTTTGGAATAACTTATGCCCCTTGGGTAAAATGTGTCCACTTCTCTTCGTGGGAGGTTTGCGAAAACTTCTTTTTTATAGTTTGAGAAGCAAAACAGTCATTTCATTTGAACTGCTGCCCAACCAGCGATTACTCTTTATTCTGAGAGATCCCAAATGGAGAAAAAAAAAAACAAGCTAAAAGCATTTAATCATTTTTCTTTGGAGGATTGATTTGATTAGTCTCAACAAGTGACTGTGGAGGGACAATTTTTCCTGTTTTGTGTCAAACACCCAATCCGGACACGGACAAAGAGCACAAGATGCAGACTGTTGCTGTCTCATTTCAGGCAAAAGAACGATTCCAAAGGGAGACATTAGTCTGCAAGTCCGTTTTTCACTGCGGAGCGGCTCCTCTTAGTACAGCTCCAGCCTGACAATTCAATCCTCTGTTTTGTTTTCATGGCAGCAAAAAAAGGGAAAAAACACATCTGAATGCACAGAGCAGTCTCAGCAGCCCTGACTGTAAATGAGGCTCAGGCATTGTTGTACATCACATAAAGACCAATGGGAGAAAACTCACAGTTCTCATTTATTAAAATGCATGAGGATTTTCTGGGGTCTGGTCTTTTTTGTTTAAGGGTGATTTTACTTACAAGAGAGCATGGTCTGCCTTCCGTTATGTTCCAAATCATTGACCTATTGTAACTTCCTTCAATCTGGAGGTGTTACTAGTTTGGCATTTTTAGTTGTTGTTCGACTTGAGGTCATGAGCTTTTAAAAAAGAAATTAATCAATCCTCCAAAGTGCCATAACTTCACAAAAATGTTTTCATCTGACCTTGCTTAACAGCATTAGAAAACGTCTTTATTTACAAGCATTTATTTCCTTCTCTTCTCTCTTTTCCAAATTCCAATCTCTGCCAAGCAAAAGCAGTTGGTTTAATTAGACTTTTATCTTTTATTGTCGATCTAATTTTGGGTGGGGGAATGTGGTCTAGTTCCATTAAAATTAATAGATGAAGTACAATTATTGTTCGCTGACAAAGAGTTGCATTGAAGTGGTATGGTCATTTGAGGCTGAGATTATGCAGGGATTTTTTTTTCAAGATGTTGTTTACTGTTAATCAAGGCTGATTTGTAGTATCCAGCGAGCTTATCATTTCCTGAAGCATGGCTGTCTTTAGTGATTACTATCAAGCTGTAAATAAATTATTTAACCAGGGTGTATCAACATCTGCGCTCGAAAAATACTGGTCATCAACCTCCATACTTTCATGAAACCTAATCAAATACAGGTGCAGGTTCAGGTCTCAATAAATTAGAACATCATGAAAATGTTGATTTATTTCAGTGATTTAATACATCCTTGAGCAGGGTGTCAATGATCGTCTGCTGGGCAACTTTCAAGCGGTCTTCCCTGTGACTGTGTGGCCCACTGATCCACACTGACAGAACATTTAAACGCCCAGGACATCTTTGCAGGTGTTGAGTTTCTAATTTTGAACTTATTTACAATACTCTGATTTTCTGAGGTACAGAGTTTTGGTTTTAGTGAGCTGTAAGTTACAATAATCAAAGTGAATAGGAATATACTCTTAAAATATATAAGTCTGTGTGTGATGAACCTATATAATATATAAGTTTCACTTTTTGAATTGAACTGATTTACTGAGATGCACCTAAATATTCCTCACACTTCAACCTTGTGTTGGGATACATCAACCTGACATTACGATACTCTGAAGACCACTGTTACAAGCAGCATTCCTGTGCTGTATGAGTAAAAGATAAATGAAAATGCTTCAAAAAGGCAAAAGCTGCATTTGCGCAAAGGACATAACAGAATCAAGACAATGAAATTTAATAATAAAGTAAATCTAATTTAGCACTTTGTCTGAAAAGTAAAAGCAAAGTTTGTGACTGGCTTGCTTTAAACTGATTTCATCAGGCCAAAATCTTCTGCTTGTGGGGGAAGAAAAGAGAGAGCAGAGGCAACAAATAAGAAGAGACAGCATCGAATGATGAAATCAGTGATTCACTGACAGTCAGAGAGCATGCTCTCTCTCTCTCTCTCTGTCTCTCCCTCTGTGTGTCTCTCTCCCTAACTGAAAACTATTCAAGTTAAACCACCTGAAATAGAGTTAGAAGACCAAGTGATCAGTTCTGAAGACACTGTGAAAACCCCACAAACTGGTTGGCCACACATGGCCCAGTGGCACTGATAGTTGTCTGTCATTTCAGCTGAGCCACCGATGTATTAAAAAAAAATCTGAACCCCATGGTCCACATTCAGTCCTCTTAAAGTTATCTCAGATTTCCAGGCCTTTGCAGGTTTTCCCCTTTAGTCCCTCTCCAGACAAACCACTTGAGATTATTATCTAGATATTAAAATGGATGATGCAAATCTACCTCCCGCTACTGCTTACACATGAGGTCAAAGAAATTTCCAGAGATAAGGGGTTAGACATCGTTTGGAGCCGGGGTCAGCTTCTCCTGATCACCATAACTCACATTCAAGGTACCAGATTTCACCATCAGTCTGTCTATCTATCAACCCATCTCAATCAGTGAATCTTTATTTATTTAATGCCAATTCACAACAAGTGTTATCTTTAGATGTTTCACAAAAAAGCAGGTTGAGACCATACTGTTTGCAAAGACTCAATGTAACCCACTCTCATCCCACCTTCAACCACATGAATGTAGCACTTTGCAGCATTTAGCAAGTTACAGTGGAGAGGAAAATTTCCTTTTTAACAGGCAGAAACCTTGACTTAAGCAAGACAGTCATCTGCTGAGACTGCATTTGGTAATCAGAGATGAGACTGATAGATGCAGAAAGAGAGATGGAAAGAGGTGAGACTGATACATGTAGTTAGGGAAGATGGAAAGCAGGCTCATCCATGGCTGCAAACTAAACCTACAGCATGATGGAGCACAGGGACTCCAGGAAAAAAAAAAGTGGTTAGAGACTTAAATGAGTCATGATGAGTCAAAGTTAATGACACAGATAGATAAAGGATAAAGAAGAAGAGAAACGTCCTTACAACAAGCTTTACGAAAAAGGAAAATTTTAAGCCAACTCTTAAAGAGAGAGTGTCTGTCCCCCACACCTCAACTGGTAGATGATTCCAGAGCAAAAGGGCCTGATAACTACCCCCAGAGCACTTAAAGAGACTTCAGGTACAATAAGCAGGCCTGCATATTGGGACCACAATGTTCTGGTGGGGTAAAAGGGAAGCTGAGCTCTTTTAGATCTGACAGGGCCTGACCATGAAGAGCTTTGTAGTTCAGAAGAAGGGTTTTAAACTTTACTCTAATTTAAGGGGAAGCCAGTGTAAGAGAAGCAAGAACAGAGGGGAATGTGCTCTCTTCTCCTTGTTTCGGCCAGTACTCAGGCTGCAGTATTTTGGAATAACTTAAGACTTGTTGGAGCAGCCTGATACAAAAGAATCACAGGATGTGAGACAGGGTAGGTCTGATTTTTGATATATTACACAGGTGAAAAAAGGCAGTATCTCTCTATCTCTCTATCTTGTTTATAAACAACTCTTTGAGAATCGACTGGGCTCTTTGGTCTACATATTGGGTATAACAAAGCTTCTGTTTTTGTGAGTCCCTGTGTGTGTGTGTGTGTGTGCACTTGAGTATGCGTGTATTTATAGGAAATCTATAAAAGTAATGCCTGGCCCTCTGAAGAAACCTGATTAGCTTGGAGTTGAGCTCAGAAATCAAAATTAATTTGGAAGATGCTCCAGCTCTCCACCATTACCTGCAGGCAGAGCCATTTAGTTAAGAAATAGCAGCTCAGACCTCCTACTACATGCACTGGTAATATAAACCGAGCACAAGCAGGATTTCCATTGGTCACTATGGTGCCTCTGTGATGTGAGCTTTTGGTATGTGAGGTCATTAACATTGCGGCTGTACCATTAGGAGCACTTCTCATTGACATGGTCTCTGAATACAGGTTATATGTTGTATAGCTAAACAGGACATTACTTAAGTTTTAGTGACGTGACACAAACAGGAGAACTCATTCTTCAGACATTGTCTCTCTACAGAAATCAATAATTTGCTGCATTACAATCTGAGGTTATATGCTTTAAAGTTAGTCATTAGGGGCTAAGGGGGATTTGTGTCTCCCTGCCAGTCATTCATTAGCCAAACCCTTGTGGGAGCTGTGTGATTCTGAGTGTTTGCACGCATGCATTCACATATGCTCAGTATCTAAGCATGTGTGCTTTTGTACTTTGGCATGCGGTGACATATTTACATTATTCCATTCCCCTGCAGAAATGAGGTTGAGAGAGACATGCTCCTTTGTACTTGAAGACAACCTCCAATGGGACTTGTGCTTTTAGCAATTCTCTCTTATCTTCTTTTAGCCTTTGTGCTGACATGTAGGCTGACATTTTCATTTGCTAAACTTACCCAATGTTACAACAAGGTAGCTGAACTGTTTTTACAACAGGATGGAGCTATAAAAAGGGTTAGAGATAACCTGGAAAAGGTGACATTGTAATTTTCTGTTTTATCGAAATGCATTTGTGAGCATCTTCAGTTAATAAAAGATACATTTCAGTCATGGTTTGCTTAAAGAGGACAGAACTTATGTCTCACCAAGCTGGGGCTCGAGCATTGTCAAGTATAAGTGTTGTTTAGTTTAAAGACGGGCCAAAGCGACACATTTTTTTTGTGTGTTTTAAAGCTGTGAGGAACTTTTGGTTTGTGTCAATTTTGGCAACCCATGCAAACAAGGAGTCTTTGCTTATCACATCTGCTTCATGGTTAAGTGATGCTTTAGGACAACAAATCTCATTCTGCTGACTTCTGACACTCAAATATATAATTTACTGTTAATATCGTATGTGAAAATTGTACAGTAGGACTGTTTCTTGAGCTGCAAGGCCTAAACCTACCGCATCACATCGGTTTTAGACAAGAAAAATATTGTTGTAAGTGTTATCACTCTAATCAGTCTTATTTGCTTTTGTTTATCGTTAAAAGGCATCCACATGAATTTCAGTCTATTCTGTAAATGACAAAAAACTCCTTATAGGAGCTTTAAATGGAAATTTAAGTTCAGAGTTACAGATTTATCTATGAAAAACTAAAATAAAAAGAGGCAAAACTGAGAACAACGTTTTCAAAAGGCCAATAGAGTCAATGGTTGAATGATGTCAAACTGGTTAGCAGAGAGAGGCTAACATTTGCAGAGCAAGAACTACAAGGTTGTTTTTCCTGTGGGTTAATGTGTGCTTATTCTGCATTGTTTTTGTACATCTAACTAAATACTGCCTACATACAACTTTATCTCTGTTTTTTAGGTCAAAATACGGCCAAACTGCATCAGGCTACAAAGTGCCATCTGCCCACTGAGGTTGTTTACATCCGGAGGATAAAGCAGCAGAATGGTCACACCTCGTACTCGTCTTGAGTGGAAGGAGGTTCAGCAACAGCTCAAACACAACATCTGACGATATTTCAGGCCTGCAATAAAAATAATAACAAAAACAATAATGATTCTTTTAACCACTTTGTAATTTATTAAGTAAATGTTCACATCCATGCTAAGAACAGACTGCATTTGGAGTGGACTGTGCTAGAATAAGAGCGAAGGTTTGGTATGATCTTATTTTTCATGTGTTTAGGCAGATGTAGGTTTCATACGTTTCAAGCAGTACAACCACATATCCCTTTAATCTCAATAAGCCAGCCTTTACTCCAAAGATTCATGATTTTCAAACTCATTCTGCTCAACTGCTCCCATGGGTCTAAAATCTAGTTATTGATGGATAAGAGATTGCCATGGGTATGATTTAGAGGGATACTGAGCAAATCCCAGGACTCTCTTTCTTCATCTACATAAACAAGACACCCATCTCTTAGAATATCGTGTCCCATGGGCTTTACAGTACCAGCCATATCTAAGCCCTTCCCCTGTCTCAAATTAGTACCAGCATTCTGCCCTGAGAGATCATACCCATTCAGAAACATTTATAAATCTCCACCGAAGGATGGTCCAGATGAGCCCAATAATGAGAGAAATTAATCCTTACAAATGGAAATGTAATTAAAAAAAAGAAAAAAATCCAGAGGAATAACCAGAATCTATTTTTTGCAAAGTACATTTCCCCTCCAGGATCAGTAGTTTATTAAGCAATCAATATTAACGACAGGGAGTGGACTCATCTTTACAGGTATATTCAGCAGGTACAGTCTTTGAGAATGGATTGTAAGGTTCTTTTATTAGTTTTTAAAGCTCTTAATGGTCTTGGTCCTTCTTATTTATCTAATTTGCTTTTACCCTATGAGCCTAGTACAGTCCTCAGGTCTTCAGGTAGTGGTCTTTTAATTGTTCCCAAAGTAAAAACTAAAACATATGGTGAATCATCATTTCAACATTACGGTCCCCATCTGTGGAACAGTCTACCTGCAGACCTGAGAGCGACACCTACTGTTCATATTTTTAAAAGTAAATTCAAGAACGACCTTTTTAGTCTGGCTTTTAGCTAAATTTTGTTTTAATCTTTTAATCTGCATTATGTGATTTTATCCTATTTTAGTTGTAGAGTTACAATTCTGTGTTTTATTACCTCTTTCTTAATTTACTTTTATTTATTGTTTGATTTTAAGACTGTTTTATTTATTTAACATTTAATGCTTTACCACCTTTATTATATTTTATTATGGTTTCGTCATGTTAGTCCTAGATCCAGTGTTTCCTCATTTCTTTCAACTTAAGATAGCGTTTTCTAAGTCATCTGTGGCAAGTTGAAGAGTCCTTACCTGGTCTTTTGTGTATGTATCTGTATGTCTTAGTGCGGTATGTGTTGATGGGGGTTGGGAGGGTGGGTGGGGTTTGGTATTTGTATTTTTATTTGTTTTATTTCATTGTTTTTAATATCCTGCTTGTATGGACAGCACGTTGTGCTACATTATATGTATGAAAAGTGCTTTAAAAATAAAGTTTGATTGAAGTGTTATTGTTTCCTGTTACCCTGACTAACAAAGGAGAGTAACTAATCTAACTTGCTCTCATAAATGAGTACATCGTCTGTAAAGAACTGCTGAAATTCCAGTGAAGGTTCCCTTTACATGTTGCCAGTAGATACTGTCCTAGATCCAAGTCTACACAACCGCGCTGGATATGCTCTTTATTTCAGTTTTGATAATTGGCCCTGGACGGCACAAGCAAGCTTTATCTCTTAAAAACTGAGCTTGATATGCACTTGAAATAAAAATCCACCTTAAAGAAGTCCTTTTCTGCACTAAAGGGAAAGACAGAACATCACATATCGTCTGTGCTGAACCTATAAATAGTACATAAAGAGAGGGCTATCAAACAACAAAGTAAGTGCTGAACAGTTTTTAGAGATGGCATACACCTACATTAATATTAGAGTTTCTCGATGACCCTATCTACTTGGGTTGATAGCCTGGCTTTCATTATTCCATCACTATACTTTGGCCACTTTCTCTGCAAAGGGGCAAAGCTAACCAGCATCAAATGTGAGTAATTCACAGACAATTGACGAATACCTCATACAACCCCCTCTGAAAAATACTTAACTTTTGCATGACTTTGCTTCTTTAACTGTTAAAACCACCAGACAGAAGGTTGAAATCTTTCCCTCAAATTCTTGCAAAACACGAGTCTCATGCTATAAAAATAAACATTTTAGATAATAGTTTTGTCCAAAGTAAAGAACTTGCTTCCTAAATTTTTAGTCGTTTTTATGACGTTCACAACATTTCATGCTGTTTCAAAACTTCCTTGTGTTAGAAATAATATTATTGCACTGAATCTGAGGTACCACACGATTTGCATCATTGCTTCTATATAACAGAACACCTCCACTTGACTTCTTTATGAAAGAACATGTCAGATTTCACAGACATGCTTGCTTTTCATGATAAAAAGATCTGTGTGTTTTTGAATTGGATTCAAATGTTTGTTTTTAACCGGTTCAGAAATCTTCAAAGGGGAGACTCTCTAACATCCTCATTATGTTGATCTCTCCTGGCAGAGAGAGAGACAGCATGTGACAGAGGAAAAGCGGAGAGAGATAAAGTCAAATGGATGGGACAGAACGCGTCTTTCAGTGTGCAAGCATGTGAGGAAGGGGGGTGACAGTATGGTAGTGAAAGCTGAGTGCAGTGGAGTGAGGTGGCGAGAGCGAGAAAAGTTGTGGAACAGCGAATTTGCAGTAAGCTAATGAGCGTACCAAGGGGCACATTAGTTATTTATTTCCTGAGCTTGTTTCGTTAAGAGAAGGGCACAGCAATTAGCTTTGAGGAGATGACATCCCTAAGCGCCCTTGTGCTCGGCTGCGAGGCAACACGAGAGCCCTGTCTGAAATGCTAAACAACCTGTGGGGCCTGACACGAGGGGGAAGGGAAATAGCGTCACGCATATGACCCGGCATGACATCTCTGTGGCAGCGTGGCCAGCTGGAGCTATATTTTTGCGGGAGTGAGAGACAGAGATAGTGGCTGGCTTGAAATCCACCGCACCTCGAAAAGAGCGGGGTTATGTGGACTGATGGCTGAGGGGAGCAGCTCTGCATTATAAACAGCATCTGGCATTTTTTTCTCCTTTACTGTTTTCATTTCCCCCACAAAAATTTGTAAATGGATCTCGGTTCAGTCCAGAGAAAACATGATCATGTTCACTGCTAGCCAGTGTCAACTATTTGAATATAAATTTAACACACCCCTCCCACTGGTGAAGGGAGAGTAGCCTTTGAGGACAAGAAATTCTTGTGTTGCATGATAAATACCATCCTCCATCTGTCATCTATTTTTTCTCCTACATCTTTTAATTGTTGCATTTTGTGCTTCTACTTACTGAATGCATGTGTTACTGGTTTATGTGCTTCTGAAACATGGTGTTCCAAGATGGCAGTCTCCATAAAAGGGAACCCGCTCCTATATAGATATTAAAAACAAAAACAAAACAGCTTTTAGATTGAAATGATAGTACACTAATTTAGCCATACTATACTATTTCTGTCATGTTTGTTCTGCTAAATGTTACTTGTAGCGTTGAGGCAATACTGCACACTGCACCATTAATAATGCCCTTTGTTTATATTCTTAAATCTAAAGTTTAAGAGATTGCTAAGGGTGTTCCTCAGGGTTCTGTGTTAGTTCCTTTGATATTTTCTCAGGACAGAATTAGAAACTGCAAACTTAAACCTTTATGTAGATGACACTATCATGGACTCAATAGCCTCAACTCCAACCCATCAATTTGAGGTAATGTTGACACTTTTTCAACAACTTCAAATCTCACTACAAAATCTCAAACCATCTCTAAATGCTTAGAAAAGCATATCCATGACCTTTGATAGAGCCCAGTCCAAAACCCAAGGTAACATACAAATCTAAATGCTAATGGGTGCACTTTCAAGACCAGGCCTCCTTGTGAAAGAGATTGAAGTCACCTATCCTTCCCTGTTTAAAAAAAGATTAAATAAGAAATTTAAAGAGCCACATTACAGTTTGTGATTTCTGGCTCATAAAAAAAGAAAAAAAAAATGCTTTGCAGTGTCACAGAAAAGAATGAAGGCTGAGAAATGAAATTAGTCAAGCTCTGGCTGCAAAGGTATGTGTCAAGTGAGACCTAATTTCAAGCAAATCCTTAGACACTGCTGCATACTTATACACAAACACCTCCACACACACGATTCCCCCTTAATTCCAAAATTAGACCTGTCAATCTAATTACTAATTAACCTGAAAGAAATCCCCCAAAAAATCCCATATTTCTAAAGTATTTTTGAAAGGGAACACGTTCAATACACCTGCTGATATGCCAGAATATGCTAGCATTAAAAAAAGATCAAAGCAAAACACCTCTTGTCTCCCACACCAGAAGTTCCTATTTGTGCACCTTCATTAAATGAGGCGATGTGCTCCAAACAAGAGAGGATGGAGCCTCGTTTGAAATGTCAGCCTTCGAAGATATTAATTGGAGCTGAGGCCCTCCAATCAAGGGAACAAAACAGTGTGTCCACAGAGGTGAGTGGTAATGAGGTGCGCTTTGTATGTGGAGGAAGTTTGGCTGATTGAAATTACATAGCAGAGTCCGACCAAACCGTAAACATAGTCATTTAGTCTGTGATAAATACAGCATCCTTTTAGTTGTCTACACTCTGTAATTTCCACATAGAAGAATAAAATAGTTATTGCAAATAAATATTTGCACCATCCCTTCCAGCATTGTTAAAAATACACTGAAACATACTGGTTTCTACTGATTTGTTTGTCTGCTAATGTAACTACAAATATTTACAAAGAAAGCTCTTAAGTAGCAAATAAAAAGACTTTTAAATAGAGGATTTGCTTTGTAATAACTCCAATAGTTATAGCAATAATTCAGGCAGCAAACTACCATTAACATTCAGTTTCAGTAACATTAAAATCATGTTAATATTTATACCAGTCCTCTGTACTTCATATGAAAAATATTAAAACACGTTGGTCTGAATTGGTTTGTCTGTCAGCTGAATTGTTGGGTGGTGAATTTGAAGTCTTGTTACAGTGGAATTCAAAGTG